CTCCTTCTGAAAAGGTCGGTCGAAGACATTCAAAGACTGGCGACGACTCTTGGGACAATGATTGGATAGACATAGATATCATATCAAATCTTACTAAATCCTACTAAAAGAGCAGTGTAGTTGATACCCAAAAATGTCCACATGACCGGTTCCTGAATGTCGACCCGCATTTTTTTGTCTTTGATTGATCATTGAAAAGTACAGCAAAGCCGGAAAAAATGCGACAGTAGGATCCTTACAAATGGTGATAAATGATACATATATATATATACTTGTTCTTGTTCTCTCTGTTGGATTGATTTTTGGTTGCCACTGCTGAACCCAAAATAAACAAAGAATATAATCGATTAATATAGCCAACCCCAACATTTTGTTTTTTAAAAAAAACTGAATCCAACCAAAATAGCGAGAAATGACTCCTGTATCTTTTAGGAAATCGCAACTTCAACGCATTTTTCAAAGACACACCGCTCTAATCACGGACTGTCCTTGGCCGCTTTGGACCGACCAACCATGGCTCCATGGCAGCACACCGGGTTCTTTTTCAATGAAGAAATTGCGCTTTAAACGGTCTCTTTTTGGGGGGGTTCCATACATGGATCCCCAATAGCTGGATGGTTTATTTCATGGAAAATCCCTATTGAAATGGATGGTTTATTTCATGGAAAATCCCAATCCAAAATGGATGGTTTATTTCATGGAAAATCCTATTGAAATGGATGGTTTATTTCATGGAAAATCCCAATCCAAAATGGATGGTTTATTTCATGGAAAATCCTAGTTTATTTCATGGAAAATCCCAATCCAAAATGGATGGTTTATTTCATGGAAAATCCTATTGAAATGGATGGTTTATTTCATGGAAAATCCCAATCCAAAATGGATGGTTTATTTCATGGAAAATCCTAGTTTATTTCATGGAAAATCCCAATCCAAAATGGATGGTTTGTTTCATGGAAAATCCTATTGAAATGGATGGTTTATTTCATGGAAAATCCCAATCCAAAATGGATGGTTTATTTCATGGAAAATCCTATTGAAATGGATGGTTTATTTCATGGAAAATCCCAATCCAAAATGGATGGTTTATTTCATGGAAAATCCTATTGAAATGGATGGTTTATTTCATGGAAAATCCCAATCCAAAATGGATGGTTTATTTCATGGAAAATCCCAAAAATCCAAAATGGATGGTTTATTTCATGGAAAATCCCAATGGACCCTAGGAAATGCCTCCCCAATCCACATTCCCAATGCCGCCTCCACCATGACTGGTTTTGGGATTCAGTCCTTGGTTAATGAAAACATCCTCGGAATCCACTGCTTCTAGGCCTTGGTTATGTCTGAAAAAATAGCCATGACCTTGTGATCCAAAGCAAGAAGAAAGATATGGCTTCGATACAGAAAAATCCTGGTAAAATAGCGGTGAACTTACTCTTCTAGCCAAAAAATATCTGCATATGAAAAATAGATATGGATAAATGATGATAAATGTATGTTTGCGCATGCACACGCACTTGTTTTCCCAACTTCCAACTGTTGCAACCTGCTCATCTAAAAGGGTCCCACATCTCAATGGTTTAGTTGAATGAACATCCTGTGTTCAGCACCTTTACGCATAATATAATGCTTTCTTGGCAGATGTTTTTTGAACCAATTCTGAGAATTGTCATTTATCAAGTAACAAATGCAACGAGCTACAATCCTCCTCACAAGGATTATGAACCCCTAACCCCCGTAAACTAGTTCGATATATCTACCGTAAAACATATATACTTATAATTTATAATAGTCATCATCAACCAAAGAATTGGAACAACAACTTGTAACTCTCAATCTTCTTGATCGTCCAAGTGACCCCTCATATTTTTTGTATATAGGGTTTATGGATGTTAATGGTAGGTCTCTCTCTCTCTCTCTCTCCCTCCATCGCCATCCCGAAGGTTCAGCTAAGGCTGCGGGGCGAGCTGGTGGCCCAAGCAAAGTCTATTAGATCTATTTGTATTCATTAGATCATTAGCTTTATAAACCAATTTACAGAACTGGGAAGCACCATTACATCCCATCATACGATTCATGATTCACGTTTACTATTTCCTAATTATATATTGCCATGGATGTGGAAAACCCAATACCAAAAGCTCCAATAGAGGATAGTTCATACCAGAGATTTGTAGGTAAAAATGGGATGGTTTATTACAGTACTGAGATGGTTTTATTACTGGGATTTACTGGGTTTACCACCTTAATGAGGTGAAATCATGTTAAATCATGTCAAATCCCAAGGATATCCAATGCTGGTTGGTGGTATAACTACCCCTCTGAAAAATATGAGTTCGTCAGTTTGAATCCCAATCTAAAATGGATGAAATGGATGATTTGAGTTGTGCCCCTATGACTTAGGAAAAACCTCCTTTTACCATGTTGTTTTCCCATGGTACTGTTTCTTTTTCTCCATTTCTTCCCTGCGTCTTTGCTCTCTTCGCTCACGGCTCTTGACTCGGCCGCCACCCTTGGGTCCTACATCACGGGCCTCTATCCAATTCATCCTGGGACTGTTCGATTTGGCCCTTGAAAACGGACGTGTTAATGGGAAAAGTATGGGAAAATATGAGGGAAAACACGATCAATGGAGGTTTCTAGCTGGGAAAATCATCGAACTAAATGAGGGATTTTCCATTGCTATGTTTGATTATCAGGTATAGCTAGACCCTCCAAACTGTATGATCATCAAATATAATATAATATCAAATATGTTTAAATATAACCCTGCACGGCTTCTCAGTGATTTCCCATAGTATGCTGAATCTAATTGGAAAACACGGATGATAACACCATCTTCAGTAAATCCAAAAGATGAACCTTCCAACATACAGGTAATTATGGTTCTGGGATGTGTATACATAATACACACATATATATATATATTATAATATATATATATGTATGTGATATATATATTATAATATATATATATATATATATGTATAAAGATTTATATGTATATAACACATGGAACATAAATAGAGAACATCATCTTCAGCACGTCCAGGTCTCTGGTCGAAAATCTCGGGTTCCAAGACCCAGCTGGTTGGGTGCACAATGACCAGCAAGACTTCGTCCACCTTGAGGCCAATTTGGGGCGCAAAGATTTGGAGCTTTCCAAAGTCATGGGGGTACCCAACAAATGGAAAAATGGATGGTTTATGATGGAAAATCCCATGAACATATATTAAAATGGATAATTTGGGGGTACACCCATGACTTTGGAAATCTCTATTTCAATGCCAAACAATGTATATGGAGGGTACTTGAGATTGGAAGGGATCTCCAAATGCAGATTATACGACGTCACCAACCTGGAAGAAAGTCGGCGATGCTTCCCCCATACGGTTCCCAGAATTTTTCATGATGTTGTGGTGCCGTCCAAGTGACGAAAAATTACCCTCTGGTAAACTAACAGTTTGCTATGGAAAATCACCATGCTATTAATGGGTAAATCCACTATTTCGACTGGGCCATTTTCAATGGCTATGTTAATTTACCAAAGGGTATCATTCAGCCTAAAAAATCAGCCTGAAGTGGATCACTTGAAAGGACATGCACGATGCCAGCGCCATCGATTTTTTGAGGTCGTAAAATTGCTTTGGGAATATGTCAATGCCACAAAGAAATATATTTCACCTGCCCCAATTTCAAAAGATCCTCAACCCCGTCATCATCCACGTGGTCTCTTTCTGGACTGGAAATCAAGACTTTCTGCGTACATTCTAAATCAAATGCCGGCCTACCAGGGCTTCCTTTTCTCAAAACTTGACGACTTACTTCAAGAACAAAAATGGTTCTATCTTCTTTCCCGTGTTTTTTTCTAAAAAAACAGATCTGGGAACGCGACTCTTTTCACAACATGAAAAAGGCACCGTCAGAAGGACTGGGAGAATTAACACTAGCAACTCAAAAGCAGCGCATGTCCTCACAGCTGCCCAAATCCAACAATGTGGGTAAAACAATATCATAATCAATGGATTGGTTTAAGGGAAAAATTTCAGGAAAACCCTATATTTAATGGGAACAACTATTGTTTCCTGTAGGGCTTTCCCTTAAACCAAGCCATTGACATAAAAAAAATATCCATGACTGGGAATGGATTATACCACATATAAAAATGGTGATGATTGGTGGATGGTTTATTGCAATGTTTTACCCACCATGCAATTATCATTTCATGTTGCCAAGCAGCAGCTGAGTCCTCAATGACGTAGATTTCCACCGATTTGTTTCGCGGATAGTAGTGCTTGTACACACCTCATCTGGGAAAATTATAATATTTCACTAACCTGAATTAAGGCCATTTGGGGATGATTTCCCTTACTAACCGTGATTCTCAGTGAGGGAGAACAGTGAAGTCGTTATAATTCACCCAGACCTCATGTGTCTTGGGTCCCGAAATCACTGCAGCATTGAAAAGGTAGAAACCTCGACCCTTGTAGGCAAACCGATGTACGGCCCAGAAGAGGAAGGATGCCTGATCCCTCCGTCCATGTATATATATATAAATAACATGCTAATTATATATTAATATATAATATATATGACTATGTAATTATATTATATATATATATATATCGAATACTCCCCGATGAACAGCACAGCACCTCCGTTTAAGAGGTCCACTAAGGTTGACTCCTAAATATGGATGCCGCTCTAGTTGATGAGTGAGTGTGTATGGTCATACCGGGCCGTACCTATAGGGGTCTATGGGTCAAAATCACCAGAATGCCATACTGCCCTTCATGAAATTTCTGGCTATGATTGGCTATGTTTATCTTAGATACCCTGCAATGCATTTATTTTAGCTCGATATTCCCCGATCATAGTGACGGAACCTGCAAAGATTGAACTATATATATTGTATATATATATATAGACTCAGACTATGCAGCTAAAACTACCTTTCACCAAGGTTTTAATAAAATGGAACCACCAGAGCATCCGCAGTTCTAGCCATGAAAATCCATGGCAATTTTTCCATCTGCCCAGCTGCTCTCCACTCTGAATTTGGGGTAGTCCTCCACCAGGTACACTCCATGCGGCTCCAGGGATGGAAACCTAAGAAAAACCGGCAGCTCGGAGCATGGGGAAAGACAGAAAGCGACAATTTTTTTACCCGGGAAAGAAAACAAACAAAACGAGACGGAAAATCTGTGGTGTCATGATTTTAAACGATCTCACGGTGCTGAATTCCTATGAGTTTGCCATATCTTGGTTTCCTTGGAGGGTGTCAAAACAGTTCTCATAATCCAACAAAACAACTGACATTAAATCGGTCACATACCGGTCACTGGTGTGGATGTTGTTTTTCGAACCATTTCCGAAGCTAGTCAAGTCCACAATTCTAAATTCTAAACATAAAAGAGGTCACAATACACAGGGCAGGCTTTAAGCCTACGCAGAGTTCCAAAATGATCAGCTAGTTACAACTCTACAACTACTAAACCCTGGAAAAAAGGCGTATGAAGCAACGTCAACATATGACTGAGTCAAAACCCGGGAGCTCCCTAGGTACCTTGAAATAGCCTGTGAATTGTATGATTATTCCCCAAATATGGTAATAATTCTATGCTGATGTCATTGGATTTATCTATGATATTGTCCCGCCATACCCATGGAAAGTCTTCGAAAACTGGCCGAGAAAAAATATGGATTTACACAGCCTCCCGTCATCATGACCTAAAAAAGTTGGTCGACTGAAGTTTTAATCGTGAACATCTATTTAGATCTATCTAGGGTTTACGAACCCCCCATCAACAATACAATAACTGCTTCTGGCCCCGATCTTGTTGGTGTGTACAGCTGCTGTATCCCCATCAGATGTAGCGAACTTTCGGAAAAAACATGCTCAGAAGCAAGGCTTTCCAGGAATTCCAAATGCAGGTATTGGTGTGGCATCCATCGTCCACAATGATATCAAAACGTAGGTCCCCCACGGCTGCCTCAACGTCCTGGCCGATGTCAGGACGTCTTGAAGTAATTGTGGATCCTCTGCATAAGAAAGGGCATATCCGGCGGATATTAGCCGCATAACATCGCATAACCATGTTTGTTTCTCTCTCTCTCTCTCTCTGAGTTTGATCGACAACAACTTTGATTTTACGAAGCACTTCGGAATCAAACCGGGTTGGTTTAGGTAAGACATTGCTAAGAACTAAAGGAACCCTGCTGGTTTTTACCCGCCAAATATGTCCAAAATCTCCAGGCGATATGGCAAAATCTTACCCTTTGGTAAACTAACATAATTAGCGAACTTGAACATGGCCATAGTGGATTTACCCATTAAAAATGGTGATTTTCCCATAGTTATGTAAAGGTTTACCATGGGGTATCAAATTTTAGAGATGTGACAAAAACATCCACATTACATCAAATGACCTAAAAAATCGAACATAACAAATAAATAAATAAATAAATACAATTATATATATATATAACATATTAGTGTATTCCCCAGGATTTACCAATTAGGACAGACTTAGGAACATCACCAGAAATCCCACCAGGTCTTCCGGGTCCTTTCTCACGTTGGTATCCAGAATGATCGATTTCATGTGCGCATCTCGTGTGAAGGTGGGACACGAGGGATCAATATCCATGCCATAAATGAAGGCCGAGGCGTCAAAGAATTCACGCCAAAGTTTCCTAAGCAGCGAAAGTCTGTCTGGGGAAATCGGTGGATGTGGTGAGGGGATGGTGTCTATCCATTAAATATATATTACCATCTGGTTATGACTAACAGTTCGCTATTGAAAATGACCATTTATAGTGGATTTTCCCATTAAACATGGTGATTACTATACTATACCATCTGGTTATGACTAACAGTTTGCCATGGAAAGATCCACCCTGCTATTAATAGGTAAACCATCTATTTCTATGGACCATGTTCATCCATTTTCCATGGCTATGTTAAATAAACAGAGGGTATATATGCAAATGGCTCAAAAGCCACAACGAACGGAATCAGCTCACAAGCTATTTTTCCCGCGCACCTTGAGGAGTCAACCGCTGCATGGAGTTCGCTAAGTTACAGGATTGAATGCAGACTGGAACTTGCACCGGTCCATGTAAATTTTCAGCCATCTTTGTAAACAACACTTATTTATCATCCATAGGTGATAATCCCTGAGTTTTTCGACGTCTGGCTGACGTCATATCTTCATCATATGTTATTTTCCAACATTGGTTCATTTTCAGGAATAAAAGTGCTTGATGTTTTTCCGATGGCTTTGTCAAGCTATTTCCAAGCTGGGCATCTGAGTGTACCCACCTCAGCATCATACCCGTTCGATTGCTGGACTCCTTCAAGGCTAAGGCTTCGATGTCAGCTCTGCGTTCAGCGCCTTTGACAACTGGAGTTTCTTTGTTGAGTTTATCAAACAAGTTCTTACTGTCAGTGATGGTTAATCCTGGTGTGAGTGCCGCTATCTGGTCTACATGCAAGTGTTCAAGTGCTTTTGGACTGTGATGCATTTCGCTCCATAAAAACCGTAGATGATACAGTTCGTCTTCTGCATCAACAACTGCATGTGTTTCGGCACAAGCTGGAGACCTAGCAGTACGATCAATTTTTGTCGAATGCCAGCCTAGCAAGGAGACAGGAGCCAATTTCCCTTCGCGCAACTTACGGGGAGCAAGGCCTATGATAACCCCTTCGGTGCTGCTGCTGTGGTCAGGGCGGTTTGCCCATGCGGCATCACCCCAAGCTACAAGGTCAACGGCTTCGCCTTTGATCATGCCATGGATCTTCAACTTGACATGTTGATGTTGGACATCAGCAACCAGTGTGTTAAGTTTTACCAAGTCGGCAACAGTGCTATGAGGAATCGTGGAAATCATGAAGCCAACATCAGCTGAATGCAAGAAGTCCACTTGGCCGCATAGCCAACTCAGGCTGCCGAGGACGGCACGCATTTGGCTCTTGTCACTGTCTGTGGTGGAGCTCTGCCGTTGCCGCTCTCTATCTCTAATTATGTTGATCTTTGAAAGTGTACTGCAAAATTCTTCTTGATCGAGTGTAAAACCAAAATCCTCGTGCTGTGTGATGCGGACACCACATTGGATGAATGGAGTCTGCTCCCATGTTCCCCAGTTGAATTTCCTTTGAATCTTTGCCATCAGTTCGCAGTGCAAATTATCAAAAGGAGAGCCACCAAAGAGAAAATCATCCACATGACCGCTAATGATAGAACGAGGTTTGCCGGTTTCATCAAAGTACACCCAAATACAAGGTTCAGTTCGCATTCTCGTGTATCCGATTGAAGAAAGAAAGCTAGAGACTGACTTGTACCACCACAACGGTGCTTCTACCAACCCATAAGCTGCCTTTTGAAGCTTGGTCTTTGAGCCGGGCATGATGCCAAGCTCTGCACAAATTTCATCTGTTGGAATCACCCACATGTCATCCTGAAGATCATCACCCTGTAAAAAGGCTGAAGACACATCACCCTTCTGAACCTTATAGTGGTGTCGGGCGCAAAAACATAGGAATGCTTGGCGGCCTGCCCTAGATAAGGTTGGTGAGGTGGTCTGCTTATATTCATAAGACTTGTCTTGATAACCTAGGATGACGGCTCTTGCTTTTGCTTTCCGTGGTTGATTCTCATCCTGTGATGCCTTCCAAGTCAAAACCCAACGCATTCCCACTGCACTCCCAGCCTTTTGCTGTTGTTCAGGCGAGAGAACTTTGAAACAATGGGACTGGATGTAACTGCGTACCTCCTTGCCTTTGGCCTGACGAAAGGCGTCAAGCTCTCTGTCATTAAGATGACGTTCGGAAACTTCCACAGCTTTTCTTTTCATTTGGCCAACTACGAATGCTTCCGGATTCTCCAAGAACTTACTTAACCCTCTTTTTGATTCAGGCAGTCCAATGGCAAGTTCTACGCAAAAACATGGGTCCCATTGCTCGGATGCAACCAGGTTGTGTGCAGCTATTGGGTCTGTGTCCAGGCTTTCAGGCTTTGGTCGAGACGCGGCAGGTTGCACATCAGGCTTGTCCAGGCTTCTTTTTCCATAGAATCTCTTACCACCTGTGGGATGATTGGCTGCTTCTTCCCACTGCATATCTGTAGGTATATCTTGTGTGATATCTTGATATGTTTTTCTTTGGGGATGCGTGGCAAGACTGGTGATGGTCCATGGAATTTCAACTGGGCCTTTCAGTTGTTCAATGGCTACTTCACGGGATGAAGCGGCCCGCAATTGCTCTGGTGCCGCTTTGATGAGGCGGCCTCCCCTATGCAACCAAACGCAGGATCCTGGTCTCAATTTGCCTTCAGCATCTTGTCGCGTTTCAACAGCAAGTACTCGGGCAGGACCTACAAACTGGCCATTCCAAGAGAAACCCTTTTCGCCTCCTCCAGGCACCTGTTTGCGCCAGAAGAAACTAAATCACCTGGATGGAACGATTTGAGAGGTCTTTGACCTGCTGCTTCAGCTCTGGCAAGTCTACTCTTCACCTGGAATTCTATGAAGCTTTTCTCGGCTATGCCCATGGCTTTGATTGTTTCTTGAAAGCCACCATCAACCATCTGCTGAGGATGGATAGGGTATCCATCAATTTTTGTTTCAAACAATTTGCCCCATTCATCAGGATTGCGACCTAATGCATGTTGTGCCGGAGAGTATCCTGCATAGTTATCCCTTGAGTTACAGGCCCACAAGGCTTTGGCAAAACACTCATGAAGAGACATTTCGGGGAACTCCTGAGCAAGAGACGACATCACATGCTTTTGAGACTTGATCGCATTCTCGATGATCCCAACTTGCCAATGAGCTTCAGCTGGCACAGGGGACAGTTCTATCTCACGCTCTTGGCAATAGACTTCAGCATCTCTTCCTCTCCAAACCCCTTCTGGATCTACCCGTATGACTTCAGACTTACCGAAAACAGGCAACCAAATTTCTTCAAAACACTGTTGGACTACAGGCCATGTTGCTTGTTGTCTGGAGTCCTCGAACAGTATCTTACCAACACGGAAACGGCATCCCTCATCTATGAACAAAATGAACTTGATTTTGTGTTTTGTGATGGGGTGTTGCCAAGATCCTAGATCACTTTGGATGACCTGCCATTTTTGGGGTATGGTCTCAAGAGACGCTGGACGTCTCGGTGCGGCACGTTTGCGTTCCTCGCATATTGGGCATTCGAACTGTTTTGCTACTTCCAGCACGGCATCAGACACTCCCCTTCGCTTGAGAGCTTCTAGCAAATTCTTCATGGAACCATGACCTGTGTTGCTATGAATATGCTTGACAAGACGAAGGATGCGTTCTTTTTCCTCCTGTGGCATGCCATCAGCTCCTACAAGGCATTGTGGAGTGTCGCAGTTGACAGGTTCAGGCACGGAGGTATCGTGGTGCGGACGCAACTCTTGTGCAACAGCTGACCAAGGCTCAAAAGTTCGCAGGGCTTCTACTACCTTTTTGGCAAAAACTGGTGTGTAAAAAGCAGTTCGGGCCGGTCGTCCCGATTCACATGCCACCTTTTTATGGTTCTTCTGGCGAATCAAGTGCATATGTTTCAACACATTGGTGTTGTGAGTGGCAATGGTCCACCCTTTACACATCAGCTCTTGGGTATCGGATGATCGAAGACCTACGCAACAGCCATGGCACGTCACACGCTGCAGCTGGAGTTGTTCCAGAAACTCACATATGCAAGGCAGTTTCCAAGCTTCTGACTTTTCGGCCAATTCCCAGTGAATTTGAGTTCCCTGTGAAAGTGCAAATTTTGCCACCTCAATACCTCCTTCATATTGTTTAATGGCATAAGCTCTTTTCTTTTCAAGAGACTCTTTCTGTTCAGGAGTTTTCTGATTGAGTCTTTGAAGAGGTGAAAATGGGCCGCAATCACAGGAAATCCAAAGATGCACAGGTCTAAACTCCTTGACAGCTTTCTTGAGTTTCTGGACACCTTCCATGGTCGTGAGGTCGTAGCCATTATACAGTGAGAATCTCTGAGCTGAGCGATCACCTCCCTGACGCAAAGCCTCTTGTGTCATGATACTGTTTTCAGAGCAAGCAACTTCCATCAGAAAAAGTCTTTGTTGTTCCACAAGTTGATTCCATTCCGAAGAAAAGGGATTCTTGACTTCTGACCATGCTCTACCTATATATCTATGACATTCTAGGCACTGCTGAGTGGGTGATTCTCGCAAAAGATCGTCATCACTACCTGGCTCAGGAGGGTCACTGGTCACATTTCGCGACGGCTCTTGCCGCGACCCATCTGCTGCTGCAAATCGAGGTTCTCCTGGCGAAGGACTTCCAGCTCGTCCTTGAGACGCTGCATCTCGTCTCCTTCCATTGACGAACACTGAGTCCAGCTTCCGGGCTCGGATGCTGCACTCTCTTGATGGTATCCTTTCCCAGGTGCCTTGTGTCCAAGCTGGGCTGTCTTGTTGACATTCTTGGTCTTGGACGACTTTGGAATCTCTGCATGCTCCTGGTTGTTGGTCGACATCAGCCATGTGGCCAATCGGGCCAGACGCCAGCAAGTGTCCGTCTCCTTGGAGGTGGTGATCACCCATTGGCAGTACTGTGGATGATCCTGCATCACCTGGCCGTATGTCAGCCCGGCAAACTGGCCGAAGCCAACCGTGTCCAGTGGTGACGGCGGTGCATTCTTGATCAGAAAGGTCTCGGCCATGACATACATCTGGGCTATGGTCTGGTTTGCCGTGGGCTCCAGACCGAGTTCCTTCAGGTGTTGCACCAATTCCGGACGTTTCTTGGACTTCTTGCTGAGCATCTTGAGTTGATCTTTCAAAGTCGTAAGGCCTGAGGCTTCTGCCTTGCTCTTCAGCTCGGCGAGACGACCTTTCAATTGGAGCACCGTGAGTTCTGGAGAGAGATGCTCTCCATAGGCAGCAATCTTGGCAATCAGCGACTCTTTGGTCTCGCTGGGCATACTGGCAAGAGACAACAGCAGGGTACAGGTGGTCGGGCGACGTATGCTGTGATCGGACACACTTCGGCACATGCTGACCTGACCTAAGACCTGCTGAGGGCTCAAGTGGTTGTATGTTCTGACAACATGACATGTGGCATGACGACTGCATCTTACAGCTGATTTTGGGCTCATACTTTTCGGGATTATCACCACTACAATTAGTTTCCTGAGTCAAAGGATGGCTGTCCTGGACATGTTCACAAAACTGACACAAACCCTTCTGTACAGAGCGCAATTGACAGAAACTACAAATCTCTAAGGTGTTGCTCCCCTGGGCCTTTTTGTCCATGTTCCCAGGGAGGAGTGCGGTTCCTATTCAGAACTGAGCGACTGCAAGGAAGTCTGCCGCTTGTGGGCTCCCTCCAAAAGATTGCCATTTAATGGCATCAACAGGTGGCCATTTCCAGCAACTTCCAGCGGCACGACGCTCTTGTCACATACCTTTCGATACACCACTTCATTCCTTCCAAAATCTATGATGGCTCCCAGTTTCTTGAGAGCTTTCAAAGAAATGAGCACAGGCTGGTCTGGAACATCATGCACATGGATTTCTAGGCTCCCAGACTTTTCTCCCATGTCCACTCCAAGCTTCACTGTTGAAAGGCAGTTGGTGGTGCCGTTGTTGCCAAATCGAAAGGTTGGTTGGGTGTCAGGATCGACTGTGACACGATCCTTACCCATCCGCTTCATGTTGTTGACCATGATGGACTCGACAGCTGCAATCGATCCCAACGTAGATGTGGCACCGCAGTCTATGATGCCCTTTCCAGAACTCAGTCGAGCAGTCAGGTCGGATGACTGCAGGGCTTCATGGCCTGTTGTGGCATCAGTGGCGAGTCCTTCTTCCATGGCACTAAACACAATCTCAGCAGATTCTTCGCTCACATGGGCTTGTTGTTTCTTGACAAGGCACATGTGCGAGCTATGAGGTCCTCCACATTTCAAGCACTTCTCCACCGAGGCTCGCATATCTCTCGGTGGGCCATCTCGACGAAACGAAGATGAGGAGCTCCTGTTTGTAGAGTAGAATTGTCTACTCTTCTTGACCTGAGATTGGCGCCACCTGGCTTCTTTCAGGGTTCTTCTCTTTTCTTTGATGGCTTCCAGAGCAGAGTCAATGATTCCTTGTTCCTCCATGTAGGCTGCAAACGCCTCAGGTTCGTAGTGCTCATCCGGCACCTCTTCGAAGGAGTTCAACGCCGTATCATCATCATCTTCCATGTGATCAGTGGCTACGTTGGCTGTGTTCTTGATTCTGTCTCTGCGTTGAAGATCATCTTCAGTCCATTGCTCTTTCAGTGCCTTCTCCACTGAGGCTACAGAGAATTCACCTCTAATTGCCGCCAGGATGTTGGCACGCTCATGAGCATCTAGACCGCTTCTGTGAAGCAAGAGAAAACCCACCAGGTAGTCAGGCAAGAAATCTTTGACCTCCGTCTCCCATGAAGGAGGAGGCATGTATTCCTCGCTTTTCCAGCTGTCCCAATTCCAGTCACGCCAGTCGGATTGGCGCCAACTCCATTGTGACGCCCCTTCATCATCTCTCCATGGTCGTGATTCTTCTCCAGCATCATGCGCATCTTCATCATCATCTTCACGTAGTCGGCCATTGTCGTCAAACAATGGCCCCCCGCTGCGGTACATCTCGTTTCGAGTCTGGCTCCATGGTTGAGGATCAAAACTGTTTCTCCTTGCACGTCCAGTGTACGACTCACCCTTGGAGCTACCATCAGCGTCCTTTGAGTCTTTCTGAACACGTTGAAGAGCACGTGATGCCTCCCATAGAGCTTCCCCATGTCGATTGGTCCATGCTACCATGGTCTCACCTTTTCTACGCCTCATGCCATAGAAGAACTTCTGGATATGCTGCGACGCCAGAACAAGCGACGGCTTTTCGATAGCCTGCTCAAGGAAATCCACCAGAACATAAGCTCCTCGAGGGTGCGCAAGCCACTGTGGATCCTGAGCAAGCTTTCTCCTCACCACGGTCCTAGCAGTGCCAGTCAACTGAGCTGCTAGGCGAGGTCCTGCTAGATAACGTTTGTGGTGCTCCAGTGTGAACATATACTGGAGTGCTTCTTCTCGAAATCTAGTCAGCTTTTCCGGTGACCCATCAAAAGATGGGATTCCATCCTTTCTCACATCTTCACTCATCCCCGGATCAGGGCTGGCCTCTGGGCTCACCCTAACTCAAGCCTGAACCAGGCTTTACGCTACCATGCAAATGGCTCAAAAGCCACAACGAACGGAATCAGCTCACAAACTATTTTTCCCGCGCACCTTGAGGAGTCAACCGCTGCATGGAGTTCGCTAAGTTACAGGATTGAATGCAGACTGGAACTTGCAATATATAATAAAACATGGGGCACATAAAATCAAATAAAGTGGTCAAACATGGTCAAACCAACAGTTTCAAGCTTCGTGGTGATAAGTCAATAATGAATTGGAGCAACCCTTTGAGCGGGCGTGAAAAAAAGCGCCCATGAGAGAAATCAGCCAAAATGCTAGGTCAACGGCTCATTTCTTGCTTCCATCCTGACGATTTCTCGGGTTAATAAAGATCTTCTAGAGATGCTAACCAGGTGTCCAAACAGACATGTGCAAATGTATCGAATTGATATTCAAAAATCTTGCAGAGGCCCTCAAAAAAGACCACGCATTGCACAAACATGCCGCACAACTCGCGCTATCAAATCATGCCGCTATCAAATTATGACTAACAGCCATGGAAAGATCCACCATTTTTAAGAACGGAAAAACCATCTATTCCATTCTATTTCTATGGGCCATGGCTTAACCATGGCTATGTAACAAATAACCAGAGGGTAACCATTCACCCCAAGAGCTCTGGTCGTCCAATCTTCCAAGCTGCATGCTGCCACCTTTCTTGATACCAATCTCCAACACATTCCTGGGCGCCAACGCCTAACGGTTAACCCAGGTTGGGATACCATCCTCAACAAATAGAAACCGAAAACCCCAAGAATCATAAACCAAAACACACACATCAATACACATCATATTTCTTGTTGCTTAAGAGTTGTATCTCATTCTATCCCATAATCATAATGTCCCCTTAAGCCTTAAACGTATCCCGTCATTTCTCCGCCAGTTTCTATGTCCATATCTTCCATATATCTGGGTAAATTATAATATTTCACCAACCTGAATTAAGGCCATTTTGGGATGATTCCCCTTACTAACTATGATTATAGTGAGGGAGAACAGTGAGGCCGTTATAATTTACCCAGATATATCCCTATTGAATCCTATTGATGTGTCCTTGTTCCTTGGGTCAAATTGTGGAGGGAAACATGGACTGGGCTTCACCAGCAGCGTCCTGGCGGTGTGTTGATACGGCGCCAGAAGCACATCATAGATCTGCGTGTAGTTGTGCAGGGATGCCTCCAACTTTACGGCGTGCTGAGGGAGATCTTATGAGAAAATCGAGGCTTTGAATATCTTATGAGATCTCCTCCTGGGATCAAAATCGTCCAAAGTTCAAACAACACATAAATCTAAAATGTATATAGCATACTATGCGGAAATGAGTTTACATCAATTGGATCTCAGTTCTTTTTGTTTGTTGAATGTCCGTTCATCGTTCCATGACTCCTTGTTTTTGCTCATGGTTTCCAGCATACCCTGAGCATCCCAAACCCTCCTATACGTTCCTGCCAATCAAAAGCACCAGCTATGATAGAGTTGGCATTTCAGGTTCCCAATGGTTCCCAATTGCATCGGATATCAATCTGGGAGTATCTCAACAGGGGGGATACTGTACCCCAAGTAACAATGTGTAAAAAAACAAAATGGTGATACCCTCTGGTAAACTAACATAGCTATGGAAAATCACCATGTTTAATGGGAAAATCCACTATAAATGACCATTTTCAATAGCTATGTTAAATTACCAGAGGGCAAATCATGTCATTTCCCAGTCAGCCACCCATCCTGTCAACCCTCCCCACCCGGCGCCTTGTCCGTTGGAAAATCCACGCTGCCCCAGCCCTTGGGGGCCTTCTCAAGGATGGCAGAGACGCTGGGATAGATGTCACCCGACTTGCGGTACTCGTCCAAAGGGTGGTACCTTGCTGGAAAAGATGGTGATGAAGTTCCATGGCCCTAGATATGTGTAAATCACCTTGCCAAACTTCTGGGGGTGTTTAACATATTTTACCTTCTGGTTAACTAACATAATATGGAAAATCAACATTTTTCACGGGAAAATCCGCTATAAATGGCCATTTTCAATAGCTATGTTAAATTACCAGAGGGTAACATTAGCAGGAAATGAAAATGAGATGTTGAAACCAACCAATGATTCAGATTTCAAAGAATCAGTTTTCTTGGAGATGCACTGGAAGCATCATTAGTTTCCTGATCATTTCGAAATATCAAGAGACAGCCCAGGGCTTAGTTTCGCCCCAAAAATCTACCATCCATCCAACTAAGACAGACCCTGCCAAATAAGGGTTGGAAGACCATTCCTTCCTCCAACCATGGGTGATTCTCCGGGTCAAACTGTTCATTGAGCGGATGGTACCAACCAAAAAAAAACATCCGAGAAAAAATCCAGGCCATGATTCCATCCTATGATTCAATCCTATGGGCCATTAAAAGCCATAGGATGTTCATTAAAAAAAACTCGTTTGGCAACACCAGGTGGAGATTCACTATTGATTCGCTCGGCCTAACTCGGCCATGGGATTCAAGGCACGCCTTAAACACGCACTGTGCAAAAACGTACCCAAAGCCGAACTCCACTTTGATAGAAAAGAGAAAGAGCCTCAGCGCCGGCATGAAAATGGCTTCAAGGGCCCCCCGTAGAAGGTTTGATTAAAAGGAAATCAACCAAACTTGTGATTGAAATAACCAACAGTAACAGAATCAAAGTGTTTTTCCATGATTCACATATATATATATATTATATGATATGTGTCACATTCACATTTGATTTATGATAGCTAAGTTGGTGAACATATATAAGTATAAGATAAGTGCTGCTTACTCTGGTAGGTATGTCAAAACTAGCTGTGTTTGTTCGGCCAACTTGGAAGAAGGGGGCACTACCAATAGGGGTGGCGCAGTACCATCTGACTCGGGCTTTGCTTGTGGAGCCTCAAAAGTTTCTTTTTTCAATTCGTGGGTGCGATTGGAAGTTAAGAAGCCGAGATGGGGGTCTTCCAATAAATGTTATCCTGTTATCCAAAAAAATGGATGGTTTGAACTGAAAAAAAACTATTCAAATTGATGATTTAAGTGTCCTCCCATTTGAGGAAACCTCCGGATCCGAAGGGACTATTCGCGGGAAAGCCTTGCATATCCTGGAGGATTTGGGGGTAAACAAACATCAATGATTTCAGCTATCAGCATCCCCCTAGTCCTTGATGCCTGCTTTGCCAAGAACCTAGGGTCCCTCAACGAGTATTCTTGGCCCCTTGTGAATGGATATCAACCTCCATTATACAGCCCGCATCAGGTGCTTAATTCATTCCAGTTTCTTGATCCATGTTCAATCCCAACTTAAAAAAAAAAACATATCTTTGGTGTCTATTCATTTTAAGGACTTACCGAAGATATATAAGATGTACCCAAACCAGGATCCAGTTTTTTTTTGGGTACCTTTAGGGTGTAACTACCAACAAGCTGTCCACGACATGATTTTTCCTAGCTCCCCGACTCCCATGTCCAGCACTAATGTGGTAAACCCAAGGTTTTCCTACAGTTAGAGCCCCAGAAACCAGTTATTTTCATGGTTATAATCTTATTTTCATGGGTTTTGCACTCCATAGATGGGGTATGATGGGGTGACTAGCTGACTTGTGACTGCTGTTTCGGGCCATACCTTATTCCATGGAAAGCTCTGGAGAAAAGATACTCCTGAGCTGCTGAAACATACCAAGCTTCAATAGAAGGCAAGCAGCAAGACTTAAGATCCAGGTGCGCACTGACCACCTCGCAGGGTGATTTCCCGCTCAGACACTGTGGATGGACAAGCCATCCTGCACCAGTTGGTAACTAACTCTTACCAGTAGCAACTTAATAAGAAAACTCCGTAAACCATAAGATGCTTACTTATAAGATCAGAGTAACTAACTCTTAGTAAATTGATCAGAAAGCACTGTAAACCATGGGATAATTCATAGGATTTCGCAACCATCGACCAACTGGTGTATTTACATTCCGGGCTTGGGGCTTCCCAGTGAGGCATCTTGACACCGGAGGGTCTAGCTGGGGGGCCCAAGAATGGATTTTCAATCATACCACACTAGACATAGATAGATAGATAGATAGATAGATAGATAGATAGATAGATTAGATAGATAGATAGATAGATAGATAGATAGATAGATAGATAGATTAGATAGATTAGATAGATAGATAGATAGATTAGATAGATTAGATAGATAGATAGATAGATAGATAGATAGATAGATAGATAGATAGATAGATAGATAGATAGATAGATAGATAGATAGATAGATAGATAGATAGATAGATTAGATAGATAGATAGATAGATAGATAGATAGATCGAGATAGATAGATAGATAGATAGATAGATAGATAGATAGATAGATAGATATCGATAGATAGATAGATAGATAATCTAGTTAGATAGATAGATAGATAGATCGATAGATAGATAGATAGATAGATCTAGTTAGATAGATAGATAGATAATCTAGTTAGATAGATAGATAGATAGATAGATACATAGATAGATAGATAGATAGATAGATGATTGAAACCTCCAGCCAGTGTTATGTACCTGCTTCCACCTTCTTAAGTCTCATGTTAGATAGGGTAACGCATATTACACCCTGTATTTGTTCTTCACCAACAATCTGGCCCTCCAAGATAGCTAAGTTGGCATCTAACTACAAAAACCTGGGTCTACGGGGAATATATCTATAGTTAAATGGGATATTTTGAGTGGAAATATTATTTCTGCCCCACCACCAACCGTCGTACATTTGCCATACTATGTTATACATGATGGACTCTTGATTGGGTATTGGTTACTATACAACATCCCCGAACCAGGTTGTATACCCTGTATATCTAAATATACCCTTGGGGAGTTCAACGAAGCAATTAATAGGTAAATCATCATAGATCATCTATCAATGGACCATTTTCCACGTTAAATAACCAAAGGGTTAATATATCTGTGTTAGTTTAGGGATGTCAAAGATACCTTCACCACAGCTTTCCCCACAGCCTCTGTCTCTTCCGTGGCTCATCTTTCTCTGCTTCCAGGTCTCCCAGTTCAGCATCAGCGGGCGACGTCGGCGACCGTGGCGCGTTGTTTCGCCGCGAAGGGTCACCGCGACGGCTGTGCATGGTCAGAAATCCATGGCCCCATAGAAAGCCTGGTATAGTACTGGGGTGTACTGGGGGTGCATCCCACTTAATGGGTTATGGCCCTCTGTAATATATGGATTATAAACCACTTAGTAAGTGGGATGCACATCTAAGTATACAAACGTAGCTATTGAAAATGGCCGTCTATCGTTGATTTACCCATTAATAGCATGGTGATTTTCCAGTTCGCTATGTTAGTATGTTAGTTTACCAGAGGGTAAGTCTACGGGAGAAACGTAGATCTATGGATGATTTGAGGTTTGATGATGACCTAGGGAGGAGTCCTGATATGTCCTGATACAAATGGGCCTCCTTTTCAGCTGCTCGGGGATGACCATCAACGAACTCCCAGCACTCCAAGCTGAAACATCACCATTGTATGGTCCCAAAACCGTGTACCCGGCCTGGTAAACTGTCACCAAAAAAACGATGGAAAAATCCACCATGTTTAATGATTTAATGGGTAAATCCACTATTTCGACTGGGCCATTTGACCAAGTTCGCAAACTGTAATCCCCTCCTAAACATTCCTAAACCATGGAGGGTGTTTTACAAATGAATGGGGAATGGGATAGTCTACGATCTCCTGGAAACCCCAACAGTTCCGGCTTTCCGCCGGGAAAACATGGCTTTTGATGCGGCTAATGAGCTTGATATAGCTTGATAAGGCTAGAACAACTGGGATCATGACTGCAAAAAAAAAGTGACCAAACTTCACCGAAAAAAACAAAACACTTCTCATGGTGAAAAAAGTGTCGTGCTGCGACCCTGACCTCTGTGCATGTTTGAGATTGTTTGATGCACTCTGCGGAACGGTTCTGCTGAACAATGGATCTGGTATGCAAACCGTCCCAGTAAATTCTTGTCAAGGTTTACCTACAGAAGAATGGGTTTGCACAACTCACTTGGGACAGTTTGTGAGGTCTCCTCAAAAAATGTTGGCTGCTGAAAGATCCGCTGGATCTGGAGTTGTGAAGCATACTGACATATAATCATCCCGTATGTAGATAGAATACCCACTTAGGATAATGATATATGATATACTAGTATTATGATATATGTGTATGTAGTGAGAGTTCATGCAAATATGCAGTGCATGTTCTCTGCTTGGCTCATGTGCTTTGTCTTGCAGCTGTTTGCTCATCATGATCTCAAACAGCTACGATTTCAAAGCCTAACTTCACCAACATCTTGGAAAAAAAGAAAACATGCACATGGAAAATGCATGCTAATGAACAGTGCATGCGCATGTAGGCACAGATTGATGTTGTTTATATCATGTTCTATCATGTGAATCACGGTATGTCTATACATAAATGCGAATGCCACATAAATAACTCTGCCAGAGGCATTCTTGTCTCCATTCAGTCCCAGGGTGCCCCTCTGGAGATTTAGTCCAAGTGGACATGAGATTTGCTGCCCCTTAGATGGACAAGATATTCAAAGCTGTTTCATGAAATGCAACCCCCTGCTCCCAAAGTTCAATGTTAATGTCAATTGAAGTGTAATGGGGCCCCACTGGACGAAAGAAATCAACTGTAGCACCACACAGCTGTCGCACGGTGCAACCAGCTGAGATTTGGTGGTGGGGGGTCTCACCCAGTGCAAGGTTTGAATATTTTTGTCCATCTGCTGTAGTGATACCATCTGGTAATTTAACAGTTTGCTATTGAAAATGACCATTCATAGTGGATTTTCCCATTAAAAATGGTGATTTTCAATAGCTATGTTAAATTACCAGAGTGATATTTGTTGGCTTATAAACCCGATTGAGATATATCTACCACCGCAGATTAAGTTGGTTTGAAAAATCCCATTAACTACAGATGCAGGTAATATCTACCATAAAACCACATGAAACCTCCTTCTCTCTTAAGAATCCTAGAAACCATCTTGGCTAAAAATTGGGGGAGCACCTTTCAAAACCCGTCAACTACATGGCCAACCTACCTAAAAAAATATTTCATCACCTATGGCTAAAGACTAAAGTACCAAAGTATCCAAAGTTTCCCCAATCATACTTGCATGGTTTATATAACCGTCACCTCTTGATGATAGAATGAAACATTCACGAAAGCTTCACGCGTAGCATGCTCTGCCCTGTTTCATCTGCGCTTGTTCGTCGCGAGCCCCTCAGTCTGCGACGAACAAGTCCTGTTCGGCGCTGCACCAGCGTCAGGTTGCCATAAATCATCCCCAGTAACCCCAGAGTTTGCGGGTCATGTTAATGGTTAATCAATGGATGTTACCCTCTGGTTATGACTATATAACATAGCCATGGAAAATCACCATTTTTTAATAGGTAAACCATCTATAAATGGACCATTTTCCATGGCTATGTTAAATTACCAAAGGGTAATGGTTAAATTACCAGAGGGTAATATGGCTCATGTTTGGTTAGATGTTAAAATCCCAAGACACAGTTGCCCGTTTCATTTTTGGTTTTGCCACATGTATACTATACATGTGGCAAACAGGAAAAGATCCACAAGTCGGACACGCGGAAATGATGGGGAAAACATGGAGAAACCATCCCTATCCCCAAGTCCCTACCTATGACATACTTACTATCAATAGAATTTCGTGATTGTTAGTTACATGTGTCATCTTCCCAAAGGTCAAACTTGCTGCAAGGCTATATGAAAAAAAACAATCTATAGATCCCGTACTTACACATGTGCAGTGGTTAATCAGTGGCTTGAGGCGTCCGGAAATATCGGAAATCAGCCGGAAATCAACCGTTGCATGTCAAGTCACTCGTGGCTGTTGGTGGCCGTATCTGAATGGGTGATATGTGTTGATGGTAGGGTAAGTATGAAGGGATAACTGTGAAACACGGGGGAATTGCCCATCTACCAGCTGATTTTCCTCCCTGACCATTCCCCCGCTGTCACTTACAATTCCCTTGCTTACGCCAGAGTGACAGCCGACTTTTGCCCAATGCACCCATGGTTTATCATTATCGTGTTCCTCATTAAAATTGCCACTCGGGGACCTACAGTACCCAATGTTTAAGACACAAACACACACACAAATAGGATATAGTTGGTTTATATAGTCTTTTCATGTCTTTTCTGTATCCCACTGCATGCCTACTAAGATCTCATGAAGATCACATTAAGATCCACATGTTTAAGGTTAAATCGTTTGTCCTATTCCCTCTATTTATCATCATGTTCCCATTCAAAATAGCCATTTGGGAATGTACCACATTTTGGACAGACCAACATTTGACATAGTTGATGAGTTACATGCCATTGTAAATCCCCATAATATATCCTCCCCGTTGGGCTGGAGTAATTAACATCTTTCAGAATCTTTCACCAACTTTAAGTTAGGCCATTTTTTGTCAGCTACTAAGCATCATTTACGTCGTAACTTCATGATCTAGTTAATCCTGATTGATTAATCCCAATAAAACCAAATGAAATTTACATGTTTCATGGCCCTTCTGTTAACCCCCTGCTGTAAACCCATGTGAACGCCCTGTATAGAAGTATAATGACATACCTAGACCCTCCAAGTACCTCAACAAATTGTTGTAAACCATAAGTACTTTTTACCAGCTTCTACCAGTTATCGCTAGTTGGAGGGTCTATAGTTATCATCCATTAACTATAGTTGTAACTTCTGACTAGTTCGTTATAAGCACCATAAACATCATAAACCATAGTTGTTAAGACTGTTAAGAGTTATCTTCACCAACTTAGCTCAACTTGGCTTCTTGAAATCTTCCTTTATCCCTGCAAGGTGGTGCCCCCCCAGTTTTTTTGTTGGTTTATAACCCCCCATTAAGTAGCTCGGTATATCAACCATAAAGCCTAGTGAAATTGGAGTTATGTTCACTAACTGCGCTTTACAACAAAATCCCACTCAATCCCACATGAATTTCCACATGAAATCCCACTAAATCCACTAAATCCCATTGATCACTATCCCCACTACCCTCTGGTAAACGTTTACATAGCTATGGAAAATGGCCCAGTCGAAATAGTTGATTTACCCATGACAAAATGGTGGATCTTTCCATGGTTATGTGAGTTATGTGACAGTTTACCAGAGGATATGACTTGGCCCCAACAATAGACACAGCTGGACGTGTGGGCTCCACTAAATTCCACTAAATCCCATTGAATTCCACTAAAATTCCACTCAAATTCCCTGAAATTCCATGAGATCCCCACTAACACACATTCTGGTTGGTGGTTTTAACCATCTTGAAAAATATGAGATCGTCAATGGGAAGGATGACATCCCATATATGAAATGGAAAATAAAACATGTTTGAAACCACCAACCAGCATTCCACTAAAATTCCACTAAAATTCCACTAAAATTCCATTCAAATTCCGCTAGAATTCCACTCAAATTCTACAAAAATTCCCTGAAATTCCATTAGAGATTCCCACTAATGTCAACCCTGGATTAATAAACCCCAAACGGCTGTTTACTTGGGAGGGTACCATCAAAAAGTATCAGATGAAATGACTATTGGAGGAGTACCCCCTAATTTTCATAAACCATGGTTTAGCAAAATCCGGGGTTGACATTAACTCACTTCAATGGGTGAAACACTGGTGATTAATGGGATAATGGTGGGATAATGGTGTAATGATAATGGTGATCAATGGTGATAATTCCACTAAAATTCCACTGAAATTCCATTAGAGATCCCCACTGACACACCTAAAAAATCACCAATTTCACTAATGTGTGACATTAATGTGTGTTAGTGGAATTTAAAATTCCACTCAAATTCCACACATTAATTGGATGAATTCCACATTTAGTGAAATCAAGGCGCCTCCAGGTTGGTGACCCGCACCGCGCAGCCCGAGGCTGCGCGGTGCCCGCCGCCGCCCAAGGTCTTGGCGATCTGGGCCACGTCGGCGGCCGAGGCGTGCCTGAGACCGCTCCGGGGGAACCGGGGGAAGTCGAAAAAAATGGTGGAAAAATGGTGGAAAAATGGGAAAATGGTGGAAAAATGATGGATAAATGTGGATAGATGGTGATTTTCAATCAAATTTGTGACCACCAACGTGCTGGTGAATGAGAAGAAATGGCGATATTTGCATGGGATTTCATCTGGAAAAATAGCTTGATGACCAGCAAAAACATTGAAACAATGATTCTAAAATCTGATGCACTTGGGAACTGGCCCGTACTGGTCTGTAGCTTAATAAGTAAAAGAAATATTTCACCAGAAAATGATGGAAAAGTGGGATTAGAATTGAATTGGGGTTGTTGGACACTAGTTTCCTGCTAAAAACCATCGATTAATCCATTGCCGACCATCAACAACCCATAATCTCTTGCAAGTCCTTACAAGTTGGTTTATAGATAGTAAGAAAAGCAGGAACAAAATGACGGTATAAGCTATATATATATATTGCACCCAGTAAACATATGATCATGTTTTCCCCATTGCAAATGGGGAATTTGAGGAGTTTAACCAAATTTGGGCAACAAAAATGTGCTTCATAATGACCGTGTTTTTTTTCTACAAGCAAGAATGATGAGTAAACTTCCGATGCAAGCAATGAGGATTTCCCTGGGTAGACTACGTTCATGAGTGGCGTGTTTTTCTCCAGGGTCTGAAATTACATTTTTAGAGGTATCGGGTATCGTCGAACTTGAGGTATCGATCAACATGCAAACCTGGCTTCCTTGCTCCAATTCAACAGCCATTGTTTTTTTACTCCAGGGTTGACATTACCAGTAGAACGTGGCAGAAGAATCACCCGAAGGATACAGCATGATGCATCACGTAGACCATCCAGTAAACTAACATAATGTAGATGTGGAAAATCCACCATTTCTAGATGATGTTCCCATGAAAACCTCCATTGAAGGAGATTTCCCATTGCCATGTTTGATTACCAGAAGGGAAGCTGGAATGCAACAAACGCTGTTCATAAACTTGGCTCACTTCGCTTGATATGACATATTCTCCGAAACAGGAATCAATCGGTCACCTGAAGGTTCTCATAGGTTCTCCCAGATTTCAAAATCCAACTTTTCCTTGCTCAACACATCATTGAACCTCATCTGTTACCCTCTGGTAAACTAACAGTTTGCTATTGAAAATGGCCATTTACAGTTGATTTACCCACAAAAATGTGATTTTCCCTAGTTTTTTGTATGTTTACCGGAGGGTAACTCCATGTTTAGTGGATGTTTCTTGGATGTTGGTAATGGCGATTTTCCATAGTTATGTCTGTTTACCAGAGGATAACAACTCCGATTTCCAGGAGAGTGTCGCTCCGAAGAGACTTCGGAGAGAAATGCTCCAGGAACCCTCCTTAGGTGACCAGCCATGAAGATGGATGGATGGAAACAACTTGATCTCTTGGGAATTTTGGGAGAAAAAATAGGTATACAACACGATTCACAACAGATCTTGGGTATATATGATATATGTGGAAGTTTCCGAACATGGGGGTTACCCCCAAATCATCCATTTTTTTTAAACATGATTTTCCATGAAATAAACAATCCATTTTGGGGTCCCCAGGGGTACCCCCATTTCAGGAACCCCCAATATATTCCCAGATTTTTTTACTGGGAAAGTCACCATGGTTTTAATACCATGTAGTGCGGGGGATGCACATCAAAGTAGGGAGCTTCTATGTTTAGATATAGTACCCCCCCTGCTCTCAAGGAAAATGGATGAGATTAGATTTGAAATGACCAGCTGCTGGTTGGTTGAAGGCCCGTTTCCCAATTCATGGATCAATCAACCTGACAGTTTTTTATTTTTTCTCCTCCTCATTTTGGGCATAAATATCATCCGTGATATGCAAGGATTCTGAATTGCCAAGCTAGATTTCCCCGATTTTTTTGCATGGAAAGATCATCACATCCCCTTTCAAACCCTTGGCATGACACCCCCAAATGATCCAAAATGATCAATTTACCCTTTGGTTTTTAACATAGCCATGGAAAATCATAACTTTTAATAGGTACATCATCTATAAGTGGGTCATTTTCCATAGCTATGTTAAATAACCAGAGGGTAATTCAACCACTAAAGCAGGGTGTCTGGCGGGGTGTCCGTTACTGGAGGCATGGAGTAGAAACAGAATGCCTAAGAATCTGATGAGGAATTAATACCCAACATAGCCACCGAAAAGCGCCATGTTTAAGGTAAATATCTATAAATAGGCTGAGTTTCATATAGCTATGTCACTATTATGTTCATTTACCGGACTGCATGATGCAATGTAGTTACATAGACACCACAAACGTAGCCACCAACACGCTTCAAAAGGGTTTATTTCCCCGCAGTTAAGGGCAATCCATGCAAAGATATGAAATGTGATAAACCCAGCAATGCCATAAACCTCTAATTTTGGAGGGTTGATACCACCAACCAATTCCTGAAATTTGGGATGGCTTATTCTTGGATTTCGACAATAGCGCCGGAATGATCCCGGGCTGGGTGGCTGCCCGTCAGACATATTTTCTGACCCCCCATGTGAGACTCAGAGTGGGTTACAATAAGTTACTTGGTAAGGCACCAACACAAAATTCAGAAAAATGGTCACTGACAGTCACCCATTATTTTCATTAATGTAAAAACATCACACATCAACAGAAAATTCATCAACATTCAGCCATTATATCAGTCTACCTTTTTTTTTTTAACATCCCCATATTAAAATGGTACCCTCTGGTAAACGTTTACGTAACTATGGCAGTAACTATGGAAAGATCCACCATGCTATTAATGGGTAAATTTACTATTTCGACTGGGCCATTTTCAATAGCGAACTGTTAAATTACCAGAGGGTATATCAATCATTACTAACCCATTATTAACCATTATCAACCTATTATTAACCTATTATTAACCATTATTGACATATGATGAGAGGCTAGTCACTTCCTTTCACTTCCGTTAAATTAATCACCTAGTATTAACCATTGTGGATTAATCACCATTAAATCACCATTTTCCTATAGTTTTCCAATGGGAATCACCGTTAAATTACCAGAGGCTAGTCACTTCCGATTGGCTCCGAGGATCTCCAGGCTTGTTGCCAGGCAAATATTTCACACACATGGCATAGCTCACGCCTTCCTCCACGCCTTGGCATGGCATCGGTGGTTGGTTGTCCAGGTGGTTGTCTTCCAGAAAAAAACGTTGGTTTATAAGCCATAGTAACTATAGAATACTATACATATAGCTAGCATAAATTTAAAACCTAGTGAAATTGGAGTTATGTTCACACCTCAAGGCATCTTCCCACAAGAAATGGACTGGTTTGAGGGAAACTTTTACGGGAAGTTTCCCATACTTCATGGGAAAAATCAATGGTTTCCTGTTGAGACAGCCAAGGGGCTTCAAAACTCCCTTGCTGCACTTAGATTCCAAAGGGAGACAAAAACCACATTTTGCAACACAGGACCCAATTAGGGTCAACTTGATTACCCTCTGGTAATTTAACATAGCTATTGAAAATGGCCATTTATAGTTGATTTTCCCATTAAAAATTGTGATTTTCCATAGTTATGTTAGTTTACCAGAGGGTACATATTAATAATCATCTTATGGCCGTGAGGGGTAAAATATCAAAAACCAGGGGAGTCTGATTTTTTCGCAGTGATGGATTGCTGAACCTGAAGGTCATCGTTTTCCTAGGCCACGGGGGATTTTCCATGTTTGAGGACCCGGAAGGTATATGGGGATGGGTCAAAACCCTGTACCCCTGGTGAACATCAAAATAGCTGGTAAATGGATGTTCATCCCCCTAAAAATAGTATGTATAGGTATTGATCCATAGCCATATTCCATAAACTATCCCAATAACCATTCTTAACTCATGGTTAACCCAATATGAACCATTCTTAACCATGGCTATCCCCTTTGGGTCAGAACTTCGCTTCCCCTTCAATAGAACAAAACATCCACCAAACTAGCTTCTTTGGGGGATGTTCATGACCCGGCGGAAATGATCGCTGAAAGTCAGTCATGCACTCATTTGGGCTGTGATTGTTTGTGTTTGTTGCTGTTGCTGTTGGTGTTGGTGTTGTTGTTTCCCATTTATTTTTGGTACCCTCTGGTAACTTGACGGTTTGCTACGAAACAAAAATCAATTTTCATGCAGTAATCATCATCCATATCATCCATAGCGAACTGTAAGTCATTACCAGAGGGTAAACTACGAAGTTGGGTCACTCAGTAGGGCCAATGGCTGAAATTTACGGGTCGTTTGCAATTTCCGGCCATGAGCAGTTCCAGCAGGGATGTGGCCGTCATCAAGATCAATGTATTTGTATCTATGTATCTATCTATCTATCTACCTAGCTGGCTAGCTATCCAGCTATCTATCTATGTGTCGGTCTGCCTATTTGTGTCCTCTACTGCACCCCCAAATTTAACATCAAATCCAAAAAATGCCGTTCCATGTTCAATTTAGAGGGTGCATATCTATATGCACCAACCCCATCCACCCATCGGACATCACCCTCCAAAATCTAAAGTTCAGCACCTCGCTTCGCCAAGGCATTGCCTTGGAACGGAAGGCAAAAGTCAAGTATATCAATTTTATGTACCTGCCATACTGTGGATGGTTGCAGTTGATGGTTTATTATCCCTTATACCACCATTATTTGCAGTGTTTCATAGTTACCTGAGACTTACCAACGGTGCAGGAATTCCTCCATCTACCGTATGTAAGGTCCATGTAAGATCTGTGTTTTGATAATGCCGAAAGAAAACTCACGCCAAAAAACCTGGGTGCCTGCTTTATAGGCATGACTGCATGAACCGTTGAAATGCAAAAGCGGTTGTACACCCCTTACATACGTTGGAGGATTTCCCATTTTTGTTGATAAAATCCCTTGATAACATCGTGGCTACCTAACCTGCCAAAAAATCCTCAAGTGTCAGTTGCATAGTATATTTGCATGCATATATGTGAAATTTTGACGCTCACTACTGACTCAACCAAGATTCCCCATTAAAAAAAAACGAGATTACTGGGGTGAACCACCAAGTATAAACAGCATTTTGTTCCACCACAATTCTATCTGGAATCTCCCCACGTAGATGTTGTACATGGTTCTATTTGGGTTATTTGTTATTGACCATTGTTTGGGTAAATACCCATGAATGGGTTACGAAAGAACCGTCGTTGATGGATTATTTTTGATGGGGCTATGGTTAATCGATGATCACTGTATCTATACGTGGAGGTTTTTATAGAGATCAACTATATACATGGTGGATGTTCCATTGCCACGTTGATTAGTAGAGGGTGTATACACACACATATATACAATGTGAGGCCCCCAAGATAGCTAAGTTGGTTTATAATTCCAATAACTATGGTTTATGGTACTTATAACTATAGTTACTGGGGTTTATAAACCAATTATTAACTAGGGCGCACCACATTGTATATATATATAATATACGCTATAACGTGGCTATCCCAATCCATTCCCCAGTCATCACCACTTTGATGATGGTAGAAACCATCCCCAACTGCTAAGTGTATGGCAGCCAAGTTTCCCACACTACCCCATTTCTTCTCTAACTGCAGCCCCTTCCCGTGCCTAGCTGATTTTCCCAGATAAAACCTCCACCGCAAGTGGATTTTCCTAGATATTCCTATGATTTTCGCATTGAGATCTGGTAAAACCACCTTTTTTTTGTGGGTAAAACAAAATGCCATGTTTACCATCCCCCAACAAATCACCATATATACCCTCTGGTAATTTAACATAGCTATTGAAAATGGCTATTTTTAGTGGAGTTTCCCATTAATAGCATGGTGATTTTCCATCGTTTTTTGTATGTTTACCAGAGGGTAGGTGCTATGGAAATCCCATTCCCAGTGCCAATTTTTCCAGTCCCAGGTGCCAAGTTCCGATGGCAGCACTGTGGCATTCACCACGAAAGCCTTCAGCTCCTGGAGCAGGAGCTGATGGCGATGATCGACTGGTGAAGGTAACCACATGTGGAAAACAACGAGTAATAGATGGGAAAACGTGGTAAAACCTTTAGTTATAAAACAAATGTATAGGAACTGATGGAATGACCAGCAGTTATATAGTACGAATTTATAGGACCTTAACTGACCTTAACTATTCTTTCTAGATTTTCTAGGGGACTTGACTATCCTTGGGACTGAATCATGATCGAATAACTTATTTGGGGGACTCAACCAGAAGAATTCTAGCGATTTAACCATCACTTTGGTGGGACTTAACTTTCAAGGGATTAAACATGTTTTTTAAAATACAGATTTAACCATCATTTACGAGATAACCTAAAAAAAGAGATACCTTATGAGGTTTAACCTTATATAACGTTTAACCATGGATATAAAAAACCTTATGAGATAACCCATAGGAAACCCCTTCGCGATCACCACTGACTTTCCGGGATGATATCGCCCCAAGTTGGGGGACTGGTAACCTCGAAATAACTATGGAAAATCACCATTTTTAGTGGTTTTTAGTGGGTAAACTATGGAAAATCACAATTTTTAGTGGTTTTTAGTGGGTAAACTATGGAAAATCACCATTTTTAGTGGTTTAGTGGGGAAACTATGGAGAATCACCATTTTTAGTGGTTTTTAGTGGGAAAACTATGGGAAATCACCATTTTTAGTGGTTTTTAGTGGGGAAACTATGGAAAGATCCACCATGCTATTAATGGGTAAATCAACTATTTCGACTGGGCCATTTTCAATAGCGAACTGTTAAATTGCCAGAGGGTATGATGGATTATGATGTATATTACCTGGTTGGTGGTATACCTACCCCTCTGAAAAATGATGGAGTTCGTCAGTTGGGATGATAAAATTCCCAATCTATGAAAAAATAAAAATGTTCCAAACCACCAACCAATAATGGATATATTACGGATATATCATGATATATCCAAATTGGACATTGGAGTAATAATCTCCAAACATGTTTCCATCAAATTCCTGAGGACATCACCTTCATACGATGTGATTTAGGTCAAACAGACTAGGGATATAACAAATATAGGATTCATTAAGTCTACAGTACGGTACGTGAAAAATAACATCTAAGCAAATTTCCTTACTCAAGGAATCTGTCTTGTAGAATTTGGGAAACCTCTATCTCAAAAGGAGGAGGTTGTGATCTATAACATTCAGAATTGGGGATGTCACCAATCAAAATGGGATCTCTGCTACTTTCTTATCTACAACACCCTTGATTGCGATACTTGGGCTCTAAATATTCTACATCTCCAAATGCCCATCATATTCTCATCATATTCCCGTTCATCAGCCGGGGGTCTGTTGGCAGGATTGTGACATGTTTCTTCGGCCCTCCGGTGTCATCAAACACGGAAAGCTGGGACATCCCCTAAGACAATGGATGTTGATATTCGACCCAAAAAAAGCATAGCCACATCTCTTTGGTTCATCCCAGGTGGAATCTGCATGACTAAGTAACGGGGCCAGTCCCCCTTAACCATCTGCTAGCATTGTCCGGCGCAGCAGCAGCAATGCATGTTTCTCTACTGGCCATCCAACCAGTTGATCGTACCCGTCGTACCCGTTGCGCAAACAACCCCCCTTTTTTTTCCGGATAACTTACGATAAAGCCAATAAAGCAAACAAAACAAAATAAATTTCTGTTGTGATTGTCATTGTCTGATTCATTTACAAAACCCTATGCGAGCAAGGCACTTTCTATTTGTCTAATCACGTCTAACCCATTCTAATCCCATGATACTGGCTGGTTGGGCTTCCCATACTATCTTTCACAACTCCCCATAGAAGTAAATTAGGTAGCTATAGGGCCGCTAGGGCTGGTGCAAGTCCTATTAAGTCCAACAAACCCAAGGAGATCCACAGAGCACGTTCAAATCATCCTGGAAATTCATGTCGCACTTAGATCTCTCCATCGCATTTAGATGGGCCATGGGATTAGCGATTCCTGGTCACTAAGTGGTTAAATAAGATGTTATAAGTTCTAACCCTCCTGCATCCCAACTATATTTTATTTACGAAGTTATATAACTACCCTCCGGTAATCCAGTTTCGGCAATGGAAAAATCCACCATTTAGTTCGTTGATTTTCCAAAGCTCCATGAGGAGTTGGGCCAGCACCGTTTCGGGGAACCTCCGTGGCCGGCAGCGACCCTGACCCCCCCATCCCCTGTGCACCGGCGCGGCTTTCAAGCGCCGCACGCGCGCGGAACGCGCCTGAGCCTGCGCTCCGTTGTGCGCGGAACGTGTGGTGGCTCACCACATGGTGTGAAATGGGGATTTAATCCCATTGATAGGGATATGATTTTGAAAAAGATGTGTATATATTATGTATATATTATATATATATATATATGTGTGTGATATATATATATATATGTGTGTGTGTGTGAAATCTCCATGATAGAATGTTTATCCATTTTTGGCTACTTGGATATTCTATAATATGATTAATGTGGGTACAATTAACAGATATCTTTTAGGAATCAAACACGGCTGGCCGAGAAATTTAAGTGAACTCAGTGGAAGTTTGCTGGGGAAGTCATCAAAATTCACCCCGGCTGGCAATGAAGCAACTGGGCCGTGATCCTACAAGGTTGTGCCCCAGTTCGTTAGCTAAGTTGGTTTATAACTCCCATTTCACTATGGTTTATGGCAGATATAACTATACTTTTCATGGGGTTTATAAACCAACAAACATAACTGGGGGGCACCATCCTGTATACCCGGTTCTGAAATCTCTTGAATCAACGGGGCGTGAACTGATGGCATGGCCAAAATCCATCAAAATCCAAAATCCATGAAGTTCGATGACCGATTCGCGAGTTGCTCCCACATCTCATGAGAATCATGAGACCATTTGATGATGGCCCAACCACCATTGTTTCAAAAAAACACATATAATTTGTGAATATAATATATACCTGTTCAGCCTGCGATATCCCACATCAAAACCTCTTGGGTGGCATGCTGTCATCCCCACATTCCCGACATTCGGTATAGGTAAAGTAGCAATGGATAAGGCCCACAACCATAGACTCCTCTAATGTAAGGATTCTTCAATCACTTAGTAAAGTCCGTTTTTCCCTCATTTTTTGTGCAAAGTTAAGTCATCGGGTGGCGTTGTAAACCACCCATTTATGCTGCAATTAAGTCCTCCCCGACCTCACGATGATTGGTGGTTCTAATTTAATGCGTGTCCCCATCACTTTTAATTGGGACCACAATTTTCAGGGCTCATTACTGACCTTCACCACTTCATCCCTTCTTTGCTGGAGGCTACTATGTATGCAGCGAATTTCAAGAAAATTGACCCCTCAGTGGTGCCCCATTTGCACCGAATTCATCCTAATTCCAGCTGCATTGATTCTGAATTTGCAGTTCAGAAAATGCCTCTCTGTTGACCTTGTCTAGTTGGCGGTTGAGCCATCCCTCTGAAAAATGATGGAGTTCGTCAGATTGGATCATCCCAGCGATTGGGGAAGTCATAAAATTCCATGGGTTCCAAACCACCAACCAGTTGGTTGACCTTCTTAAACCTGGATAAATCCGAGTGGCCAGGATCTTTTTTCGTTTGACATATCGAGTTTTACTCAGTTTGACAATTGCCATAAGATCCTGTGTTGCCTCAGGTTGGCTGTGCAGTTGGGATACTTAGTATTGAGTCCCATCTTGTGACTAAATCCCCTAGAACTCTTCATTGCTGAACTGGCTACCTCCCTCATTAAAACATGAAACTACCATGGCCATGGTTTACCCAGCTTCTACCCCCACAGTTGGAAAGAACATATGTTTTCGTTTGATCCCTTTTTTTCGATAGTAAGTTGGTTAACCCTCCTTTCACCAAGGTTGAATTGCCTAGATTGCCAGCATGAAAATAATGTCAAGTGAGGATTAATAATCCCCTCCCGATTAATCAACCACCATTGCCCCCCAAAAAAAAAGTAATTTAAAAACAGGTGGTCCCCCGAGATTAATAAACCGGTGGGCCTACCCCCGATTAATCAACCACCAGTGCTGAAATCCAATTTTTTATCCAACATTTTTTATTTCCAATTCTATTTATTTCCAATTGTTTTTTTACCTTTTTTTTAATCATCATTGTTATACTTCAGGTTTAAGTTGATCATTGAAAATTTCAAAAAACAACTATTCCCCAAATGATCGATTTCTAATTAAAATCTTTATAAAAAACATCAGTTTGGATAGCTCCCAAAGGGTACCCCCCATGAGCCCATGTCCCCCATTAATAATAACCATGGTTTGCCCCTGATTAATCAACAACCTTTCTGATCCATGAAATTTTAACAAATCCAATGGAATTCTATTAAGATCTAATTGACGTAAGCCATATCCAAAGTTTTATGGTTCAGAATTTTATGGTTCAGGGCCGTTTATTTACGGGTGATTTTCTAGGTACCTCCTACCTTCTAGGGGGCCGGGGGGGGTTATTAATCCGGTGTTGGCATTAAATGAAAAGTCCCGCTATTTGGGGATGATTCCCCTTACTAACCATGGTTTTTGAGTGACGTCACAGTGAGGTCATTATAATTTATCAGCTATGTACAATTAAACGTTGTGCCTTCTAGTACATGGACGTAGATGTGGACCATGGATAAGCCACTATGTGTACATAATGTTCCGGTTGAACGCCATGGTTGTTTTTTCATAGTCGCTATGTTTGTTCACAGGCCGACCGGTCGACACTGGAGGGTAACCATCATCAGGGCCTCCACAAGGGAATCCTGATAGGCCACAATGCTGCTACCGCGGCTCAACATCGCCTGAGTCTCTGGGGCTAAGTTGGTGAACATCACTAGGAAAAATTCAATGGACCATAGATTCTATGGGGGTTATCAAATCTACCCTCTGGCAAACTAACATAGCTATTGAAAATTGCCATTTATACTTGATTATCCCATGAAAAATTGTGATTTTCCATAGTTATGTTAGTTTACCAGAAGGTATAATAAACCAAGAAACACAATTGTGGGGAGCAACCACCTGTGAGATTGTTTGGAGAGTTCGGCTCAAATTCCACATGCTGCACAATGGAGAAATGTCATGGCCAGTGTAAGACCCTGCAAACAATTCGGAAAATATTCAAATAGATTGCAAGGGCAACATGTTGTCACTTATTCTTGCGCATCCGTCTAATAGTTTCAATTATTGCAATTACTATTGCAATTTATATTGCCAGGGGTCTCTCTTTGGTCTCATAGTCAGGGGGAGGCCCATAAAAACAAGTGAAACTGCAATTTATATTGCCCAGCTTGCTCCTTTCTACTTGATCTTCCATCTACAAATTTGCTGGTCAGTGAATATCACAATCTATTCATAGAATTGGATGATGGGAAAATTTACAGGAAAGCCCTATATTTGATGGTAAAAACCATGGTTTCCTGCAAATTTTCCCTTAAACCAATCCAGTGATCTATAGCAACAAATTGACATAACGTATGAAAGTGCTCATCTGAGGCTGATCCAGGATATGCTTCGCACGTTCACTGGCGGGTGGCTTCACATGGTTCACTATCTGTATTATTCCTGGGGGGGGATGGTGGGATGATATCCCTACTTTCACTTATGAAATCCCTTCCAAGTAGGGACTTCATACAGATAATCATAGTTCACTATGTTCACTTGATGATCCCTGGAGATGAGAACCACATCTGTCCAATTGACAAGGGTGGCCCCGAAATATGCCATGGCTGTCCCCGCCCTGCTTGCGGCAAGCCCAGGGGAAACCGAAACCCCATTGGGGCTCGAATTCTCACGCAAGCGTGGCCGCTTAGCCTAGGGGAAACCCACATAGATGTGGAAAACCAGTGGTTTTTTTTCGGATAGACAAAGGCTGGGTTTTCCACAGCTAATGATGTTAGTTCACAGGAGGGTAAAACGAACAATTGTTTGACTCCATCATCTCAACTATGGTGAGCTGGACCCCTTTGGTATGCTAGGAATAGCCACAGCATCTGATGCCAGGGCCAAGCGGCGTCTAAGCCACGCTGCCCAGAGTTGTAGATCCTCACCACGTGCACAAATCGCGCCAGTTTCCCCGATGATCAATGGGTAAACCAATGGGTAAACTGGTGATTTCTTGACCTAACCATGGCTAGAATTATAACATCCCATCCAGGCACAAGCCTAGATGCCAAAAATGCACGTAGCATATACCAAAATGCATGTACCAAAATGCATGTAACTATTTGGGTTTGGACAGGTACACACTGTACAACGTGACTTTTAGATACTTTTAGCATGTTTGGTAGGGAGGTTAGTTTTATCAAACTGCTCTTCCATTGCTCAAGGAACCCCATTCTCCTAATCTTCAACACCCCAGTCCCTAATTTAGGGACCCTTATTTGTGACTGGGTAAATCATAGGGAATGGGCTACCTTCAAAGTTCTTTGGGCAGACTGCTCAATATACATATGGCCATGCACTGGTAATTTCAGTGAATCGATGTAGAACCAGATCGGCGACACCAGGAGAGGGACCCAGGGGTGGACTGGGGAAGAACCACAGTGTGAGGAGGGGCCCCTTGCAACATGCATTCTGCAACATGCATGTTTTGAAGGGTTCAATCCCACCAGAAATGATATTTTCCTTGAGAAAATGCATGCTTTTTGAATGTAACCTTGTTTCCATGTCAGCAGTGCAAAAGTTTAGATTCCCGAGCTTCATAGCATCTTATAACATCATCCAAGTATGTAGCCGTAGCTGTGGCTCAAACATATCAATGTGCAGCCACAAGACTCCTTTAAGCATCCAACCAAAAATTGAAAAAACTCAAACATCATCAAAATTCACCCGAAGACCACGTCAAAGTCGCAAAAACTACCCCCAAAATCTCCCCAGACTCAAAAAAAAATTATCCGAACTCCAAAATCAATGAAATCTCCATCCATTGGCTTTTCATGGCTTTTCCCCATGGTTTTCCCCATCTCCGTGCCGAGCCGCTGCAGCCAGGGCCGGAAGGCCGTCTCCGGGTCGCGCACACAGCCGGGTCGGGGGATCGGCAGCTCCAACTCCTTTGAGGCCGCGGGGGCGGGCCCAGGCGTTGGCAAAAAATGGGGATTTTATGGTGATTTTACAGGGATTTCATGAGATTTTATAGGGATTTCACGTGATTTCGATGGCTAAGGTGGTTGAAAACATGTTGAAAAGCCCCAGAAAATATAGGGAATTTCACATGTTGAAAAGCACCATTAATATAGTGATTTCACGTGATTTCGATGGCTAAGGTGGTTGAAAACGTGATTTCAGATGATTTAAGCAATTTTACACTTGGCACTTCACTGACTTAATCAACTCAATTTGGGCTTGGCATGTGTCATGTGATTTGTTGTTTGCTAAGTTGGCTGAGAAAACCTTAGAAAATGGAGATTGAACCCCCAAATTTCGGCCGGGGTATAATATACAGTATATAGTCCATATAGCCCAACCCTTAGCTCAATTTGATCAGCAAAAATTCGGGTTTCGTCATCAATATGTGGCATTTCATGGCATTTCTATATATAATTGATATTAGCTAAGTTGGTGAACTTAATTAACTCGGTGAATTCAATGGTTTATGGGAGATATATCGAACTAGATCATGGGGTGATCATATGATATGTGATTCTCAAATTGCCCAATTGCGACTTGCATTCACTGATTGGACCCCTTTGCTGTTCCAAATGAAAAACAGCAAACACATAAACACACTGAGACCCCCTAACATTTCCCAATGGGGCTCGGGCTGGTATTATGGTAAAACTGAACAGGGGTGAATAGATTCAATAGATCTTCATACCGGAAACAACATTCACATAGATGGGAGATGCAAATGAGACTTCGCAGATGTAACACCGACCATATCGTATATATAAAAAGTAGATATCCAAACACACCCAAAAATCAGCCACACTTCCCTCTTGGTGTGAGTGATAGAATTATTCTGCGCCATTTATTAATGCTTGCTATGGCTGCTATGGATGATTTGTGTCGTGAAGACCCCGACAAGCTCAGGTTTAAGAACCAAGATATCCCAAGGCTAATTTCAAAAAACTGAGGATCACTGGACCAAACCATACAAGTGTTGGTTGATAAACAAACTAATTAAACCAAGGGCACATCATTTTTTTGTTTGTCATTATTTGTCAATGTCCCCCTCTATAGTTGCTAAAGTGTCCAAGTTGTTTGATAATGCCAATCCTAGAATAATAAACCTCCAGTTTATCAAGGACCGCCGGAGCCACCATGGTGATCTCAGTGATGTCATTTGCTACTTCGAAGGTACCCCCACCATATAGATAATCACCAGCCATTCGGTCCTTGCAAAATTCCGAATGGAAGTTTGTTTATCGCTTGACAACTGAAAATGTAGGATAAGTATGGATATAAGCTGGTTGGTGGTTTTAACCATCTTGAAAACTTAGTCAATGGGAAGGATTATCCCATATATTATGGAAAATAAACAATGTTTGAAACCACCAATCAGTAAATGGTGTTGTAAAGTGGTCCTTTGCAAAACATCTAAGCGGAAGATTGTATCCAGTGCATAACCCATGCATCTAATTGGATGACTGGCTTCGATTAGGCGTGAATAAAAAATGGTTGTTAACCGCTTGCAGTTCCATCACCGTGAATATTCACGGATACAACATAACCCCCATGACCTTCGCCATTCTGGTTGGCTCATTGATAAGATTCATGTACAGCAACTGCCCCACAAGAAGTGCAGGAAATGTTTTCTTACATCTTCGATAATCCATATTAATATTGAACTGTCTATTTCAGGGTTTGTAATATCTTTGATAATCCATATACATAGGCAATTACCAGATTGTGGATTGGATTGAACACTTTTCTGCATCCCTAATATGTCGATTTGGTTGAACAAGTTGAGCCTGGGTTTTGACCATTGAAAATTGTGGTGTCATTTTGGCACCCAGTTTTATCATGGTCTATCACTTCAAGCTCGAAACTATAAGTTATGAGATGTTATGACTTTTACAAACCCATGAAACTGCCGTTGGCTACACGGTAACCCCTAAAAAGATCAAAGAATCAAATCCCCTTGAGTAGTGATGAAATACAGGTAAATCTTTTAGGGCTTAATTGTCTCGTTTGTCTCATGTTAAATCAAATGGGGTGGAGAGAGAAATCATCAAACAAATCGAAAAGGGATTCACCATGATTCTAGTTCCATCTTTTGTGGGTGCTACACTGTGGCGAAATCACCACTTGGATGGGCAAGTTTTCCCATGGCAAAATCCCATGATTTGCGGCGCCCGTTCCTGAGCTGCTGAAAACTCCTTGGAGCGCTTCATGGCCCACCGCCAAAGGTCCTAGGACAAAGGTGCCATTTTCGGTGTTCCCGGGTGATGTGATTGAAAAACCTGGGAAAATCGATTTCGGCACCCCGTTGTAAGTTGATAACACTAGAATTATACCAGTATAATTGATAACACTATAGCTTGTTTGTAGTTATATCCAGCATAAAGTTAAGCCAGCTATGAAGCAACTTAGCTAAAAGGGCCCCCACCTTAAGCTCTGGTTATGTCAACAGTTTGCTATTGAAAATGGCCATAGAAATAGTGGATTTACCCATCAAAACTGATGATTTTCCATAGTTTTTTGTATGTTTACCAGAGGGTACAACCAATGGGATTTTTAACTCGCCAGGGGCTCGACTTGGATGGGACTTTTGATTTGACATTCATCCAAGTCTTTTCCAGAGTGTCAAGGCTGCCAAGGCTGCTGAAGCATGCAGAATCGCTGAAAACAAACAAAACCATAGGTTGGTACATGGTTAGAAAAATCTGTTAGAATCATTTTTACCTATGGTTGGTACATAGTACATGGGTGCGTCTGAAAATCATTGGCCATTAGAAATATGATGATCAACATTGATCAACCGATCAACCAGTAGATTTTTCCAAAGGTCACCACACCCCGAATCCGGTCACGCGGCTTGTACCATGGCCCGACCATGAACCGTTCGTATGGGTTGATGGTGTGATCCTTTGAGGAAACAATTGTTGAGAGGTGAATCTTGGTGTTCTTCATTGGATTTACTGAATTTGGGGGGGGCATCAAACATATGTAAAAAACGACTTTTTGATAGATGGATAACATGGTAGATTGAAAATGCACACACACACATACAATCACATACATATAATATGTTCTCGTAATTGATCAATGGGAAAATCCAGTTTTCACCGACTAAACAAAAACACAGAAGTTGTATTTCTTTTGGGAGGGGATGGTCACCTCCAAAAGCATTCCCCATCGCCCATCGCATCCAACGATGATGCCATGCCTTATCTTCGATGTAGCGGAAGAACAAGGGGCAGCTCTGCTTCGTAAATTGTCCATGAAAAAAGTCCCAAGCCAAAGTTGCCTCAGCCAAGTGTGTGGTGCCCAAATCCAACCTCTAGACCCTGCAGGTATATACTGGTATATACTCATCAAAAATTGCTATTTTACCCCATAATTGTCTTCTACTTTTACCAATGGTTACCAATGTTTATGGGTACTTGCAGGATCTGGGTAGGTTGAAAGCATGAAACTCATCTCCTATCCATAGGACCTCACTGAGCTGACGCAGCGGCGTCTTTCTTTTTCTAAGTTCGGGCGAAGGTGAGTTGCCTTCGCCCATGGTTTTTTGGGCCGTGCAAACGGCCCGCCGGTTTCTGAACAAAACCCGGCGGCGACCTTGCATGTCACCGCCAAGAACGGCTGGTGCAAGGCGTATTTGCATAAATACTGCTAGGATGATCCACAAAAGTGAGCATGATGCATGGATTGTGACAGTTAAATCCCAATGTTTTCATCCTAGACTGTCTATATTTTTGTACTCACAAAGATTGGTAGAAGTACAACACAAATCTCTTTGGTAAAGCAAGCATTTTATGACACCCCACAGGTAGAATTGTGGTTCTCTGAGTTCTCTGGATGTTGTGGGTGTGGGATGGTGGGAATGACACATGTTTTTCACGCTTCAGGAGAGTCCACTTCCTGCGACATGAGTTTTTCCATCTAATGTCTTCAAACTACAAGCAAGAAAAACACATCTTATCAACTATTCAAGCATCATTTATCAACCATCATCAGCACTTTCATCTCAATCATCCCAGCAGTTGTCTTCACGGCAAGACTTTACAGCTCATCATGTGCTTCCTCCTCATCATCGTCGCCGCCGCCAGCGGCACCCCCACCACCACCGTAGTACTTGGAGACGATGGGAGCGCAAATGCCTGGACCGAGGCGTCTGACTGCAGGCACCGCCAAAAAAAGCCACGGGAATTCGTGCACCCATAATTTTTATATATTATAAAACTGGTTGGTGGTTTCATCCCCTCTGAAAAATATGACTTCGTCAGTTGGGATGATGACATTCCCAATTAATATGGAAAGTCATAAAATTCCATGGTTCCAAACCACCAACCAGCCCCAACTCTTCATCAGCTTCAGCACCGCACCTTCAATCTCCTTGTGTTTTTCCTTAATCTCCTCGGCGTCCGCCTCCGGATTGGAATCCAACCAGCTCTGGCCTCACGAAAAATGGCGCCACGGCCTTTTTGGAAAATCCAGTTCGCTACATGGGGAACCCATAGAAAAACCACGGAACATCCAGTCCATAATATTATATTTATTATATTATAATTAAGAAAATCTGGCATTGGAAGGTACATAAGCCATCATAAGTCATAAGTTACCATGTCATCAGTGTTTCCAGTTGTTTTCCTTCAAAATCGTGGAAAATCCGATTATGATTAAGCTATGGTCCCACGGCCATCCCAACTGGAAGATCCCTACCCCTATAGAGGGGGACGGCGGGGGGGACAAAACCAACCTGTCGAATTCCACTTATTTTGCTTGGAAACCCTGGGATAGTGATTTAACCCCTCGAATGGAATTGTAAAGTAACATTTCTTAACAAGCCTTGGGCACTGATTAGAAAATACTTGCGCTTAGCTCCGGAGGAGCTAATAAGCGCAAGTATGATCACGGCAGCGCAATTTTTTGGAGGGATGCCCATCCGTACACATGTGCTGCTTCAGTCTGACATGTGCTTAGCTCCTCCGGAGCTAAGCGCAAGTATTTAATTTTCACCTGCTTTCCAATGACATGGAATGATGAGGAACATTGATCATTGAGAAAACATGATTGCAAAAATGGAATTTTAAAATTATATTTCAGTACGACTCCCCCCCCTCAAATTCCATTTTTAAGAGGGTAGGGATACTGGAAGTCCTCATATCGACACAACTGCCTTGGAAATCACCAAAATGGATCTACCATCTGGTTATGACGAACAGTTTGCCATGGAAAATCACCATTTTTAAGAAAGGTAAACCATCTATAAATGAGCTATTTTCCATGGCTATGTAACAAATAACCAGAGGGTAAATGGCTATGGAACATCATGGAACGGAGGAAAAATTTTATGTTTTTCCTGCAAGCCATGTTTGATTACCATTGCGGCCATCCTGGATTGTACCATTTCTGCGGTTTGTGCTTATTGTTTGCAACATTCATTGACACAATATGTCCACCTACCAGCCTTTTTGATCAGTTTTTGACATCAGGTCTCCAAAGTCATGGTGGATCATGGGGGGGTACCCCCAAGTCATCCACTCCTCAGGAATGAACTTCGTATTAAGACAACACTCCATGTATCTTGGGGGATCCCCAAGGGGATCTCCCTTTAAAGAAAGAACCCCAACCGTTGGCCCCACGAAGCCCAACAGCGACACCACCGAGGTCGAGGTCCCGTGCCGTCTTTCAGGGCGTCCAAGATCTGCTCCTTCTCCTCGGAGTCCATCTTCTCACTGAGACCCTTGTTGTCCCCCGAGCCCTGCCATGCCGGTGGATGGTGGCTCATGGGGACAGGGTGATTTCTCACGGAGATCACGGGGGGAGATGAATTTAAGGGATAATTCGGATAATTGGATAATTTGGGTGCCAACATGTGCCAACATGTGCCAACATGTGCCAACTATTTTTGAACCGGTGATGTGAAGGGCACGGCAAGGATCTGGGGAATGCCCAAGAAATGGCTCGAAGACAAATCCTCCACACTTGAAGGTCGCCAGCCAGAGCCACTGCAATCTATAATCTGGGATGTTTGTTGCAGAGGATTGCAGAGGTAATGCAAGGTAATCTGGTACCTCACAAAACCTGCCCTGCAAAGTATGGGTTGCACTTCCAAAGCAGCTTAAAGGAGTCGGTCGTTGTGCCATCACAGGCTGGATTGATCCCTGAAGCTGGTGAAAGGTCGGGCCTTGCACCACATTTTCCCAAATGTGGTGGATGTAAAGTCCCACTTGCAAATCTTCCCAGCTTTTCCCAGCTTCAGGATACCCTCTGGTAATTTGAAATGGCTGGAAACTCCCCACGCTTCACGGGCTTACTCGAAAAGAACATGTGGGATAATTTCCATAGAATCTATAGAAATAGATTTTTTTTTTCTCAGGGCCAGGTTGTAGAAATTACTCAAGGGCCATTATCCCAACAGTTGATCCAAACGACCCATTTTTGCATCAGCTCAGGCACCATTTCTGGGCAAACCCAACCTGGATTCTCGTTGGCTCAGCGGATCTCAACGCGATTATCCTATGGATTTTAGCATGAATATCTCATTGCATGTCCATGAATCTCCCATTTTGGCTATAAAAAAAACTATACAGTAGATACTCTGCCCCCACACAAAAAAAAAAACAAATGGCTAGTTGATGCTAGTTGGTTAGTAGATCTTCTTATCACAAAAAGTTAACCACCACCAGTTGGTGATGCTGCCTCAGTGGCCGATCGCATGGAATGGATGTATCCATCAAAGGCGTTCTTGGCGTCCACCCTCTCCTTGACCTGCGGAAAAAGGATCATATGTGGGGGTTATAACGGTTATGAAATGCGAAACATCTGGGAAGATGATGAACTAAATAAAGACATGTGTTTACTGCGTTGCTATAATGTTACCCTCTGGTAATTTAACATAGCTATTGAACATTGCCATTTATAGTGAGTTTGTCCATTAAAAATGGTGATTTTCCATAGTTATGTTAGTTTACCAGAGGGTAATTACTAATCTTCCAAATCTAAGGCTTTCCGGCCATGTTGTTCTAGGAAATTCGGCTTGAAATCCCTGTCCATCTCCGGCAGGTGCATCTGTTGAATAGACACATGAACGCCTGCGAAAATGTATGGTTAAACCACACAATCATTCCAATATATCAATTCAATATATATATATATATATCCGTTTCAACTACTTTGATATTCTAGATCAACATGTTTAGATCTTCTAGATCAACATGTTTAGATCTTCTAGATCAACATGTTTAGATCTTCTAGATCAACATATTTAGGTGCGTGAAGATCAGTCAGCACAGAGTTAACACATTGCCAAGCAGGAATCCAACTGTGCAAACGCTTCGAGCAAAATATTAGCACCACCAAGTTCCACTACCTTCCTGCAGAGAGATCTATTGGCAAATATTGGCAGTGAATCATCCTCCATTTCAGATAATTCCCATGGAAGATGTCATCTATTGCCAGCTTCCGTTTTCAAACATTTCAATGTGATAATTAGTTGCCGTGTTTTTCCCCGTTGGTTTATGTGTTTCTGTTGATCCTTCACCCAAGCTCTTGATGCAATACTGGGAGGATCGTCCCAGCTTTCAACTGGTTTGTTTGGTTCACCCTAAATTGGATACCCCTCCATGCCAAAATTTATCCGACTTGACCAGTCGCAGGTATCATAAATCACGACATATACAGTAAAGTAAATAATTAGTACCCTAAACAAGTGTGATGATTAGTGGCTTCGCTGGATTTTTTATGGTTGGGAAACTCCTGATAGCTTCTTGGATCCCCTGTCGGAAATATGGTTCAGCTCCCTCCACTAAGGGTTCTTCAGTATTAAACAACCCCCGTTCAGATGGCGCTTGGGGCCTTGGTCCTTCATTTTTTTTTACATAATTTCCGTACATCCCTACATTTTGTCCCCGTTTTTGTATTCCATTAAATCATATTAAATCACCGTGTTTACGGATTAAATCCCATTGTATTTCCCATACTTCCCAATGAAATCACTTTCAGTAATCCTTCAATCCTTCAGAATATATCCATGATATCTATGGATATCTGATGATATATTCTCATAGATCCCCACCCCCAGGCAGAATCTTCCCATATCTTCCCATCTTCCAAGGCGGATCCCCGGGCAGATCTAGGCGCCTTCTTGTCCTCATCTGCGAATTCCTCGGCTTCACGGATCATCTTCTCGATCTGCTCTTCCGTCAGGCGGCCCTGCCATGGGCACGTCATGGGGACGTCATGGCTGCCATGGGTGGCCGGCTGGATGTTGGAAGCTAGTGCTATTATTTTAATGTAGTGGATATGTAAATTATAGTTATAGGTGAATATATGACTTACATAACCATACAAACTATATCTATAGTTCATATATGAATATATTTATATATGTGAATATAAAACCATAGTGACCATCGATATTAGGGGTTGTGAAGTCCATGGACGTTGGTAAAGGCAAAAAACTGTAAGATCCACCAGCCTTAAATTTGCCATTATTATGAGTGGGATTCCAACCATGAAAATATGTTGCTTTACTATGCTTTACTAACATATGAAAATATTTGTTGCTTTACTTCAGCTAGCAACATTTGGAATACTAAGTATTCCAACTAATAAATTGTTGCTTTACTTCAATTCTTCCAATATGTTATTATAGTTAAACCAATAGGAGAAGAATTGCAAAGTGTTGGTCATGTGGGACACTCAACGCCGCAAACCTCTAATTATCAATTATCTGTTGTTACCATTGATTTCTATCCATGTCTCGGAAATGTTGGCCTATTCGCTTAGATGGAATCTTATGGAATGTTTGGTGATATTTGGAATGCGATTCAAATGGTTGAGATTAGTCTGAGATGTGGAATGATCCCGTCACTGATGCAAACTGGGAAGTAGTGAAAACATGTTGTTGTTGTTGTTGTTCTTGTTCTTGTTCTTGCTGTTGCTGTTGCTGTTGCTGTTGCTGTTGTTGTTGTTGTTTGACAGTAACTGAGACCATTTTGAGAATTGGAAGTGGCCTCAGTAATGGGTGGGTCCAGACGGTGCCTAACATAACTATGGAAAATCACCATTTCGACAGGTAGATCATAGAAATACATGAGCCATGTTCAATAGCTATGTAACAAATCACCGGAGGGTACACCAAACCCAAATCTCAAACCAGATATTTGACCCATTCCCATTTGAAGTGGCAAATATGCTGAAGCTTCGAGCCATTTCAAGGCCCGGTTTTGTGGGACGATAGTCCCTTCATTTCCGCAGGTCTGCCATGTTCAAGTTACATAGCATGAATGGGTGGTTATTATCCTAATGGAAATAGGAGGATGAACATACCCTTCTATGGGAAAATGCAAAAAGTCACTTGACCATGGCTACATACTGTCCCTACATCCCTACATTGTATCCCGATCAATATTGTTTAAATCACCATGATTAAGGCTTAAATATCGCATACTCTTGAGATGTTTAAAGCTTAAATTACCAAATAAAATATCACCATCACATGGTTCTATAGCATATCTCGCATGAAAAGATTCCAAATGGATATGGATTTCAGTACTAAAGTTGCCTCATTATTGATGAATTTCCCACATATAATATCGTCCTACATATTTCAGATCTTCTTATTCAAAAAAAATGGGGTGCCTTCCACTTAGTAAATGGGTTCAAAAAAAACAGTTGGATTAATGGAATATCCCCACTTATGGTATGAAATATGGTTATATGTGGATTATAATCCACGGATGCTATGGTATAAATAATGGATCCCAGTCTTACCCTGGTTAGTAAATCCCCTACGTGTGGTTCTTCCACTAATATTTCACTATGATAGTAAGATGTTAGTAAGTCCCCTAAGTCTGGTTCTTCCACTAATATTTCAGTATGATAGTAAGATGTTAGTAAGTCCCCTAAGTCTGGTTCTTCCAGTAATATTTCACTATGATAGTAAGATGTTAGTAAGTCCCCTAAGTCTGGTTATTCCACCAAAATTCCATTTATAAACGGCTTATAAGCGGCTTATTCCACTAAGGTCATTCATCACTTACAACCACGATCGACGTTTTTTTTGCGCCTTGTCGTTGGTGATGGTGATCTTCTCACTCTTGCCGGTGCCTGAAATCCATGGTGATACCATGGGATGAAAAATGTTGAAGAAACGTTGAAGAGGGGATACCCTCTGGTAATGACTAACGGTTTGCTATTGAAAATGGGTAATTTAACGTAGCTATTGAAAATGACCCATAGAAAGTTCGTTGATCTAGCTACTCAAAGTGGTGATTTTCCATAGTTTTTTGTATGTTTACCAGAGGGTAGACCATCAAACAGTTTGATGAATGCCAATACTATTTAATGGTTTGACACGATTTAAGATAGATAGTTGAACTAGATATGCTAAACAATTGAGACTATTCAAGGTCTGATTCTGATGTTTTTAAACCACAGTTTAATAGGAATAAACCATCAGATAGTTTAGTAAGGTCAAAACACATCAAACAAATCACACTTGACACGTCCAAAAAAACAACGATAGTTAACAAAAAAAGGTAGGGTTCTCCAACAAAAAAGGTGGGGATAACAGCATCAAAATCATCAAATCAGTGAGTTCAACACATGCGTTTTGCGTGGTTGCGAAAAGAATGTTATGGTCACTGGTTGGGTTATTCTTTAAAAAAAAATTACTTTACTTCGTGCGATCCCCACCATGACATTTATACATTTTCTTACTGGCAAATCTTCTGGCATTCTATCTGACATATCTTCTGACATACTATTTGGCATTCTATCTGGCATATCTTCTGGCATATGATCTGGCATATCTTCTGGCATTCTATCTGGCAAATCTTCTGGCATTCTATCTGGCATATCTTCTGGCACTCTATCTGACATATCTTCTGGCATTCTATCTGGCATTCTATCTGGCATATCTTCTCTTCTGGCATTCTATCTGGCATATGGCATCTTCTGGCATATATTCTGACATATCTTCTGGCATATCTTCTGGCATATCTTCTGGCATATCTTCTGACATATCTATCTGGCATATCTTCTGGCATATCTTCTGGCATTCTATCTGGCAAATCTTCTGGCATTCTATCTGGCATTCTATCTGGCATATCTTCTGGCATATTATCTGGCATTCTATCTGGCATATCTTCTGGCATATATTCTGACATATCTTCTGGCATTCTATCTGACATCTATCTGGCATTCTATTCATTCTTCTGGCATATCTTCTGGCATATCTTCTGACATTCTTTCTGACATTCTTTCTTTTCTTCTGCACATTCTTTGTCCCATATCTTCCTACATGAGGTCCGGCAGGGAACACTTGGCATGGATACTCGCGGTTGAGGTCCGGCAGGGAACACTGGGCGCGGATGGTCGTGGTTGAGGTCCGGCAGGGAACACTGGGCGGGGATGGTCGTGGTTGAGGTCCGGCAGGGAACACTGGGCGTGGATGGTCGTGGTTGAGGTCCGGCAGGGAACACTGGGCGTGGATGGTCGTGGTTGAGGTCCGGCAGAGAACACTGTGGATCGCGGGTCGCAGTTGAGCAAGGACGACGAGGACGACGAGGACGACGAGGACGACAAGGACGACAAGGATGACAAGGAGGACGAGGAGGAGGAGGAGGAGAAGGAGGAGGAGGAGAAGGAGGAGAAGGAGGAGGACGAGGAGGCAACTGACATAAAATCTAACAACCCTCACCTGGCAGGTGGGGAAAAAACATGTAAATATGTAATGGAATAAAGTTTTGGATTCATAAACCGTCATGAACCATCAAAGAAACTATGGAATACTATGGATAAACCATGCCAAAAAAGACACCAACAGCTGACAACAGCTGGATGTATCATAGGATCCACCGTGCTAGTGCGACGACACGCCTTTATCCTCTGCGCCCACGTTCAGGATGCTGTTGCTGTCGATCTCGAAGGTCACCTGGATGGCAAGAATCAAGGCTTCGATTTTTGGCAGGATTGGCAACCAACAAACAATGGATTGGTTTGTTGGGGAAAATCTTCACCGAAATTTCCATGGATTTTCCCATGAAGATCATGGGGTTTTCCGGTTTCAATTTTCCCGTGAAAAGACGTGAAAACCAATCCATTGAAACAAACATCAACAACATGAATTCAGTTGGCAGCTACCACCTATACCGCCACTTGATCCCAAGTTGACCCAGAAATTGTGGGCAAAGACTGGGGGTTCCACCACAGTTGGAGTTGTGAGGAATGCATGTCTTTATAGCAAAATGGAAGATCGCAAATGTGCAAAAAGGATATGTCAAATGATTTCAACAAAGTTAGGATACAACAAACGCAAAATGAGCGGTTCACCAACAAAGAAAGGGGTTTGACCATTGATAGTACCTGACGATATTTGAAGAATGTGACAATCACTGAGTTCAATGCAAACTCTACAAAACTGAACGCATGCCTTTGTCTGCACATCTTTGTGCCTTTCCAAACATACATTTATCGTAAGTTTCTGCTTGAAGATACTGTAACATATCAGCCACTGCCCAAAGAAGACAGCTCAAGATTACCACTGAAAACCCATGGTATGTTGAAATCTGCAATTGACTCTCCAATTGGGTTGCTATAGTAGCTATAGTTTACCACAAAAAAAAACATGTACCTGAATTGGACACCAGCAGTGATCTCCTTTGATACTCTATCATGTAAGCTATGGATTTAGTGGCACTGTTCAACAGCCAACTTGCGGCAAATGTCATTGCCGTCATTGCCATCGTTCTGCTATTCAGGACACTCTCGTAGGTGCATCAATGGCAGTGGAAATGACAAGTCCCAGCCACTTCAAGGCAGTGGCGGTGGCATAGGATGCACTGCTGACTGGCTCACTTTGGAGTCAACTGAGTCTTGGCAGATTTTGGCAGTCAACTTCAGCATCCTTCAAAGCATCAAACGATGCTAACTGTGGAGCAAGGCTTTGAACTTGGAACTTTTCAAGCCAATTATTCTATAAGGTGGTACCCCCCTCCGGTGATGTTTGTTGCTTTACCTTGAACCTGACTAGCTATGTGACTCTGTGACTACACAACTACGCCACAAAAAAAGTTAGTCATACTGATTGTGTTCACTGACTTTACTGAGGATTGGGACACAGCATTCGTAAAGATCTTACTGTGTCAGAGGGATGAGCCAATGGATTCCCAGAAGTTTAAATACCCAATGGATTGCGAACTCCCAATCACCAGTTGGTAGATGGGCAAAATCCTATTGGTCCTATTGTCTCATGATCTACACATGTTCATAGTTACCAAGAGTTAGCAACTGGTGCAGGATTTCGCAACCAGCCACCGTATGTCCCCTCTTCTCAATGAGCCATTCAAAATTTCCCGTGCACTCTTTGAACAACACGTACATGTTGCGCATGAATTCGCATTTATCCATAACATAGTCCCATAAATACGATGCTGCTATTACAATGGTACCAAAGAACCCCCCAAATATTAACATGGTCATTTTCCATGGGGTCGGGTTCTTGTTCTTATTTTTTCCTCAAACCTAGGATTGACATCTTATTTTTCGATTGATTTTTGAGTATTTCACAAAGATTTGGGACGACGACAACAATAGCAACAGCAACAACAAAAGCAACAACAACAGCAGCAACAGCAGCAACAGCAACAACAACAACAACACCAGCAACAACAACAACAACAACAACTTATTCAATCAATGGGAATTTCAGGATCCTGAAATGAAGGTACTGTACCATATTTCTGGCCATATTTTATGGGGATGTTCCCTTACATAGTCCTAAAAAATAGGCCATATTTTATGGTAGCTACCTCCAATCAAAATGAATCGGATCCTGTTGCATGGCCATTGGTTCAACTATTCATATATGGTCCTTACATAGTCCTAAAAAATAGTTGGTACATCCCTTACATAGGCCTGAAAATCTATTGGCTATCGATCTATTTTTTGTTACGTATGTCACGTCTGGAACTGCTGCCTCGATCTGTGGCTGGCCACGGGGAGCAGGTGGGATCCCGCCAAGCTCAAACCTCGGGTATACGGAACGCGGAAGCCAAGCCGTGTGGCTCGGTTTCTCCGGGGAGAAACTTGGGGAAAGATGTGGAAAACCAATGTTTCCCTTAGGAAAATCATGATTCACATCTACAATTGGTGGATTGATAAATTGCGTATCGATTTATGTAATTTGACAACCTACAATGTGAAGTGGTAAGGTGGTTTGTTGATTTTTTCATTGGTCATCCTAAATATGGTGACAGACACATCGTATAACTGAAACAACCAGGGGTTTGCCATCGATCATGAGGTCAAAGGGAGAGATGAGGTCACCACCATTATGAGGATTTGACTGACCCATAGAAAGCTTGTTGATTTACCATAATGATGTTAGTTTAACATATAGCTATTGAAACAGATGAAAATGAAGGATTATATACCCTCTGTTAATTTAGCATAGCTATTGAAAATGGCCATAGAAATAGATGAAATAGTGGATTTACCTATATACTAAAAATTGTGATTTTCCATAGTTTATGTTTACCAGAGGGTAAACTCACGAAACATGATGATTTCACATGATTTTACTTTTTGAAACGGACACGTTGCTGTTGGTAACCGGGATTCTTGTCTGTTCGTAGCTTGAACAAATCTACAGGATGATACGAAGTCCCAGCTTTTTGAGGGGTTCTAACATGTTCCAACCCACTGGCAAGCCGAGTAGCTTTTTTATTGGCAACATCTACAGAGGCTTGCTCCCAGCACCCAATAAATACGATCTGGAAAAACATAAATGGGTACAATATGGATACCCTCTGGTAATTTAACATAGCTATTGAAAATGGTGATTTACCCGTTAAAAATGGTGATTTTCCATAGTTATGTTAGTTTACCAGATGGTAAATATGGTCAAATTAACAAAGATCCTCCATTCTTTGGAAGATCATCGGATTGGTTTACTGGAGCTGGTAAAGACGCCATGGTTTCAACCATAGATTTTCCCTTTAACCAATCCATTGTACCACTATTTGTATGTCCACCAAAATGCATTTGATATCATTTGATGGTTAAATCCGAAAATTCCCAACAAAAAAGGATGTCATGGGATTTGTTTGACAAAAACGTTGGGAAATGTCTCCATCCCCCATGAAATCCCATGCGGCACAGCAACTTGCCCAGCAGGTGGTTGTCTTTGGTCATGGGACGCTCACCTGGCTGCGTTGACGGGGGCTTTTTGCTGCTTAATTTACATGATATACGTATATTATATATATATATATACATGGGTTTTTGTTAAGGCTCTGGGCAGAACACAACATACCATGACACAACACTCACTATACTCACGAACCACAAACGCACTGTTCAGTGAACATGCACTAGAACTTCTATGAAAGAATTTTCTGAAACATCACCTTTCTTGGCTTTCCCATCTTTCCCATCCACATGGCTTCTGAAACATCACCACTTAGGGCTTTCCCGAATCTTTCCCATCCACAGAGTGCTTGCGCAAGCGCTGCCTTCATAGACCTGGATGTTCACCGCAGGCTGATTGTCCTGGTAGGTGGAGAAGATCTGTGACTTCTTCGTGGGAATCACCTAGAGGTGTGGCCGCGCGCACACGCGCAAGGTCAATGGAAGGTACCAATTCCATAAGGCCTATATACAGTATATATAAGGCCCATGTAAGGGGATATCCCTAGAAAATATTCTAGGATCCCGAAATTCCCATTGATCTATGGATATCTATGGCAATGACCAAGGCAACTTCTAGCAACACACCACATCCATCCATTAAACAGTTGGAACATGTTGGAAACACCAAAAAAAATATGGTGGCCTATGGTGGCCTCCTAAGTCATAGGGTACCCCAAATCATCCAGTCATGGATGACCACAAGTCTGTTTTGAAACCTATGGTGACTTGGGGTACATTTTAGGAAACCGGTGGAGGTTCCCACAGGATTCAACCCCACTTCAACTGGCTCTATCTTCCACTGGAGTGGAGGCACCAGGGCAGTTAAATCCCAACAATATTCACTAAAATGTCCAAGATGTAAAATCCATAAATTTGGGCATCACCTGTTGGGTACAACTTTTGGGACCAACATCTCCAACATGGCCACCGTCTAACCATCTCCAAGGCACGGTGTTGCGGGAGATCAACTTGGTCATGACGCCGCCCACGGTCTCAATGCCCAGGGTCAGGGGGGTCACGTCCAACCTTTGCGGCGCGAGGCTGACGGGAAAACGGGGGGGTACGGGGATGAGACTGGGATGAGACCCAGTTGTAGCTGGTAATTGCTGGTGCGAAACCCAAAATGAAGGCCAAAAAACAACTCCGAAATTCGGCTTTGGTGCCAATCAGATTGGGTAAGCACCTCCTTAGACGCCGAAATCTCTGGCCATTTAACCATCGATGGGGTAATTGTTCGGCCCCAACGAGTCACCGTATCACCATAGAATAACCAACTCTTCTTTAGGTACATATCCATGAGCTGAGCATCACCAAGTATGTGGTATTACTCCCACCAGTTAGCTTATATCCAAATTATCCAGTTTTGTTATGTTTTGTTAGAGTTTAAACTGTTGTTGCAATCCTGTTTTATACAACAACTGTTTCAAACTTTACATCACCAAATATCACCAGTGATTAAAGCAACTTCGCTATCCTAAATCAGCAATCAGCAATCCATCATGTGGCAGTGTGTCAAAACCTTGTACCCCTGTAGTTCACATCAAAATAGCTGGGATTTATGGATGTTCATCCCATTAAAAATTGTATTTTCATAGGTATTGATCCATACCCATGTTGGTGAAATCACCCTTAAAAAAAATCCCATGGTTCTCCGTTCTCCCGCCGTTGCCACCGCCGGAGACCAGCCGAGGCGCAGCAGCAAGTCCTGTCCTCCCTCGCCACTCAAAATGCCTGCCTGCACTGCGGCGCCATAAGCCACCGCCTCGTCGGGGTTAATGCCGCGGTTCGGCTCCTTGCCGTTGAAGAAGTCCTGGCGATGTGACATGAGGGCTGGGAAAACCATGGGAAAACCATGGGAAAACCAGAAACTATGGGAAAAGTGGACAAACCCATGGATTTATCATAGAACAATGGTCGTTTGATGTAGTTCAAGCATGGCAATATTGATGGCGTTATGTGATGTGTTTTTTAGCGAAACAATGGAATAACTCGGGTGTTCTTACTGGCAACGATTACAGTAACTCCCAGTTGTTTTTGGTTCAAATCCACTTGTTTGGTGCTTTCAGTCTACCTACGGACATGTTTCTTTTGTGCTTGTGCTTTTGTGTTTTTTTGGTTCTTTTCCGGTGTTTTTTGCAAGCCGCAAGCCCAAAGTATATATCACAGTTGCGGGGGATTGTCATTTTCTGTTGATCACTCGGGACAGTCTTGACTTGGCGGACCCCAGAACCATTGGTTCCCTGATTAATCCCCACCTCCTTTTACTAAACGTACCCCAAATACTAAAATTTTAAAAACTAGGGTCCGCGTTAAATTTTGGGAAACTTCAGACTGGCCAATTTGATTTTTAATTGATCCCCTTTCGAAAACAATTTAAACATGAAGGTCCCATTTCAGGGTTTCACCCCCTAGAAATGGAAATCTAATCGATTTTGAAATAAACAAATTTAGCTATTTAGCTTTTTATATTAGGGTTTTTGATTTATTAGGGGAAAGCTTCGAAATCCAATTTTGGGCAATATGTTAATTAGATCTTACTGTAAAAGGAAATCTAATCGATTTTGAAATAGAACAAAAGTTGTTTTTGTTTTAAACATATTATTGCTTTTAATTTAATATATAGAGGAAAGCTTCGAAATCCAATTTTTGGCAATGGTTTAATTAGATTTTCAAAGGAAATCTATATAACCGTTTGTGAAATAGAACAAACATAGTTTTTTATATTAGAGTTGTTATTTTAATTTAGTATTACTGTAGGGGGAAGCTTCGCACCCTAATACTAAATACCCCCTAATACTAAAAACTCCTCCAGAAGTTTATAGTTTGGGGGGGCGGTTTAGTAATAAAGGGATTAACATCCGCATTTTTGGATTACAACTTATGCACTCCCCTGCTTAAAAAAAAATAAAATAAAACCATTGGTTCATTCAGCACACCTAACGGCACCCTCCATGCTTGGTGAATTCTACGGGAAACATGTCCATCCGTGATAGATGAATCAATTTAAATCAATATATAATATTCATAAATATGAGCCATACAAATGACATATGAATGCATGAAATAACATACATCATACTTCAGTTTTATGTGTTCATGCATAAACGTATAGATTAATCAATTTGCTCAACCAGAACCCTAGAAGACTGAATAAAAATCATAAAATGAAATGCCATAAATCCAATAAAAAGTCAACGAATCTTAGATTAATCTTAGATTCATCTATGTGATTATTCTATGATTCATAAAACGCCATAGAAATCCGTAAATTCACAGAAAAAAATCAAATGAAATCATAGAAAAACACTGTAAAAAATAATGCACTATGAAATCATAGAAAAAACATATGAAATCATCTAACATCATGTACAATAAAAAAAAAACATGTAAAATCATATGAAACGAAAGACACATCATCTAAGATCATGTAAAAAATCATATAAAACCATATAAACTCCGGTAATTTAACGTGCAGCTATGGAAAATCACCATGCTATTAATGGGAAAACTCATTATTTCTATGGCCATTTTCAATAGCTTTTTGTATGTTTACCAGGCCGGTTAAACTCCTATAAAATCACATATGGTTTTATCAACATCAAAGGCCATATGGTTTTCACAACATATGGTTTATCAACCTATAAAATCATATTAAAACCATATAAACTCCTAGAAAATAAGTTATGATTATCTATTAAATGTCCATATAAATCATGTTTAAATCCTATTATATCATATCTACACTATAAAAATCACCATCAAAAAAAAAACATCATCTATATAACATCTAAAAATCACCATCAAAACCATATTAAAACTCCATATTAAAACTCCATATAAACCATATTACCAGAGGCTAATCTCCTATTACCCTCTGGTAAACTGTTACATAGCCATGGAACATCACCATGCTATTAATGGGAAAACTCACTATTTCAACTAGGCCATTTTCAATAGCTATGTTGACATAACCAGAAGGTAAAAATCACCATCAAAACCATATAAACTCATATAAACTCCATATAAACTCCATATAAACCATATTACCAGAGGGTAATCTCCTATCAAAATCACCATCAAAAAAAACGGGTGTCCTTGATGAGTTGCTGCACCTTGGGGATCCGGGTGGAGCCGCCCACCAGGACAATCTCATCCACCTGGGGCGATGTCGTTAAGCGCTCCACAAAGGTGGGGAAAACCATGGGAATCGGGTGAAACATCTCCCGAAATGCGGAAAACATTGTTTTTTTGTTGGGGGGATGTTTAATATGGAGATGTGGTAATTGACTGAGTGTTTGAAGATCTGGAAAAGATGTGAAAAAACGATTGGGAACAGGGATACGGATAGGAAATGATATGAAGAAATACATATGTGGAACATGTTTAAACGATTGAACAGAAGTATAGACATTCATTAAAAATCATTAATACATGTATATATATGGAAAAATAAAACATGTTCCAAACCACCAACCAGTTTGCCGTTTGTTGTGCCCCAACTAGTTGACGGGATTGTGGATCATCTTTAAATCGACTGGTAAGGCGTGAAGTGTTGTGTTGAGAACTCATAAATGGTTGTCGTGGTTGTCTGTGAGCAGCAGTTTGACCTACTAGCACGATCAAACCGATATAATCATAAATCATAAAGTATCAACAACACTAAAAAAACACTCATTTATATATCTGTAGTTAAGAGGGCATGACAACTTTTCGAGATGATTCAGAATATCTGCCCATGATTGTACTCCAGTATAACATCTTTGAGTTACCATGTCATCCATGTCCAAATATGAGACAGCATCAATGCACAGAACCACAAATCTGATGCTGGTTGATGGGCATGGTATGTTCATCTAGCCACGCATGAAAACTCTGGTACTTTGGTGAACATCAAAAAAAAAGGTTGGCAAATGGAAGTTCAGCCCCCAAATATGTGGTGAGGTGAGTGGTATCAGAAGTTTTGACCCAACACCAGTTGTCAGCGGCGAAAATCCTGGAGAAACGGCATCTCCAACCAGCCATGAGTTCCGTCCTGCCTGGTTCTTCTTCAAGCCCGAGTCCTCCAGCACCTGCATCAAAGGTGCCTTTTAAACATGGCTTCTACCAGTCCCAGGATCAATGGGGGAGTCACATTTTTTTCATCCCCAAAATGCCACGGAGCATTAGCTTCTTGGGATCAAATACTACGTGGCATATATTATATTATATTACTATATTAGTACTACGTGGCAAATACTACATCCCCAAAATGGGGATGGTTTTTATAGAAGCCATCCAAAAAAAAAAGGTGATGACTTGAGGATGGCGACGGCAAAAAGGGTGAATCCAACGGGATTCGAAAAAACAGGAGCCCCCAAAAATGTTTGATAAATGACTTACCCCCCGGTAATGACTAAAATAGCGAACTGGAAAATCACCATCTTTAAGAGGTAAACCATCTATAAATGGGCCATTTTCCATAGCTATGTTAGTTTACCAGAGGGTACTGTAAATGATTTATGGTGGATCTGGCGAGCTCTTCCGCCTGCTTCACTGGACCCAGGGTGTTCTTGAAGAGATCTGCGTTCAGCTCCTGATCCACGGAGCTAAGGCGGATTTCCTGGCAATTTAACCGACCAAACACTGATCAAAATGGTAGGATCAAAAGTTGTTTACCATTATTAACCATTGAATATCCCATTATCAACCACTATTAACCATTCAATACTCCATTATTAACTGGTTGTTGGTTTCAACCCCCCTAAAAAATATTAGCCAGATTGGATCATCCAACTATTGGGGAAAATAAAAAATGTTCCAAACCACCAACCAGATGTGACCAGATTAGCATCAAATTAGATTTTCACTTAAATTTTTATAGCCGAGAAATATGGGTTGAAGTTAGATGAGCTCAACAACAAAAACCTCTGGGACCGGAAATGAAGAGTACCTTAAACACACCAGACTTGAACCAGAGGGCCGTCTACACCAACCAAGCATTTTCCATCATTTTCCTTGGTTTCCTTGGTGTTTTTGTTGCGCTAGTGGATCTTGACGGATCTTATACCAGTCACAAAGCCCCATCCATACGCCTCGAAGCGTGCCCGGGTCAAGGTCTCAGAGAAGTCCACGCCGTCGTAGAGGGCTTCGATCTCCAGGCGCGCCTGCGGCCAAAGGGCCGAAGGCGGGGCTCGGAAACGAGCCCCCAAAGCCATCCAACATAGCAAGTGTCACCAATTTGATGGAGGAAATTCATCCAAATTCATCCATTTTATGGCTTTTTTTGATCTAAATTCATCCATGTTATGTTTTTTTTTATCCAAATTCATCCATTTTATGTTTTATTCCCTGGAATCAAGATGGAATGAAAAAAAAGCCGAGAATTTTGAAGCGAAAATACGGATGTCCTGCTTGATTTCCATCGCCTGATGAGTGGAGCTAAGGGCCCGCTTGGTCTTCTCCACTTCCCGGCGCAACTTCTGAATGGAGCGCTTGTCCTTGGACATGTCCTTACCTCGGTTGGGCTCTTGGCTCAAGGGGGGCCATCTAAGCGGCAGTGATGGCTTCTGTGGTAAGTGTTTGGTGGGATGAAGAATGGCGAATCTCGACTTGTAGTTGGCTCGCTGAAATATCTGTGTTTTTTTTCTTTGGCAGAAAATAGGCCATTAATCGCCATTATCCATTATTCACTGACCTAACCTAACCATCAGTTCACATCACTTCAGCCATCCCATCCCATCCCATCGCAGCCAAGCTGTGCCAAGCTGCCATGCTTCTTCTGGAAGATCTTCATGAAGTGCTGCATCACCTCTTCCCGGGTCGGTGAATCAGCCAGATTTTACCAGATGGTAGGCAGGTCAAAGACATGGTGCCCGGATGGTACCTTAAAATAGTTGGTTAATGGATGCTAATTCCCCCAAATATAGTAATATGTAAAAATAGGTCTTGACCCATATCATATGGAGGTGTCCAAAGTCATGGGGGTACCCATGTTTAATTCAAGCCATCAAACCATGACTTAGTATTGAAACCTATGGTTTTGAGGGTACCTCCATTGTTAGGACACCACATAAATGGTAATTTGACATAACTATGGGACATCAAGCATGTTTAATAGCTAAATCTTCAAAGTAGATGAGACCCCTCCCCGGGTCTCAAAATTTCATGAACTCACTAGGGCCATAATTAATTCACTTAAATCTGATCTTAAATGTCTTAAATGTGTTCATCCCTTTTCTTCTATCAGTACCTGGTTGGTGGTTTCAATCTGAAAAATATGAGTTCCTCAGTTGGGATGATGACATTCCCAACTGAATGGAAAGTCCGAAAAGTCATGTTCCAAACCACCAGTCAGGGTCAATCCCCATGAAATTCCCATCTTCCCAGGGTTTTCCTATGAAATCACCATTTTCCCATGGTTTTCCCATGGTTTTCCAAACCACCAACCAGCAACCCGCCCCCCAAAAACCACCGGTCTCGGGTGACCCGCTGGTCCAAGTCCCCGAACCAAGTGACCCGCTGGTCGAAGTCCTCACCTCCCAAGTGGGTGTCGCCATTGGTGGCCACCACCTCAAAGACGCCGTTGTCGATGGTCAGCAGGGACACATCGAAGGTGCCTCGGATGTTCCGGTGATCCAAAAGGATAGGAGACTTCGTGAGATCTATGAAGAAATCACCAGTTTTAATGGGCAAATCCACTATCAACGTGCCATGTTCAATAGCTATAATGGGATACTAATAACCTCTGGTAAACATACAAAAAACTATGGAAAATCACCATCTTCAATTGGTTTTATGAACTGTAAATGGCCATTTTCAATAGTTATGTTAAATTACCAGAGGGCACATGAGAAATCACGAAAAACAAATCTTACTATTACTATCTTCATGATATCGAAATCGGTCCCAAAATACAGTCCGAACATGAAATTCCTGAATGAAAACATATATTATATATATATATCATTTACTTAAGTCTTTTTGGGGAATGACTATGCACATCTATGCACCGAGACCCTCCAAGTACACATTAGAATCAAGCCAGCTTACCCCAGAAGTTTAGTACCTCTACCATTTTTGTTGGTACTTGGAGGGTCCGGGGAAATGGATTAAAGATGGTGATATAAATATGTACATATATATATAAATAAACATACATATAATTTTATATACCCTCTGGTAATTTAACATAGCTATTGAAAATCACCATTTTTCTAGCTGGGAAAATCCACTATTTCTATGGTCATTTTCAATAGCTATTTTGACATAACCAGAGGGTAGATGGAAACCCATCAGCGTTTCTGGTGTTAAGAAATGGACATGAGATGACTTGATACCCCACGGAAGTCAATTGTGACCGCAAAATATCTTTGAACATCATGTTGATGGATCCATTCCCCCTACATCACAAATGTCCAATATGTACCCTCTGGTTATGTCAAAATAGCTATTGAAAATGGCCATTTATAGTGGATTTACCCATTGAAAATGCTGATTTTCCATAGTTATGTTAGTTTACCAGAGGGTATCTCCCAATCAAAAACGCTGTTGAATTTGTTCATGAATTATTGGCATTCTCGGTGAGGGCAATGTGTGGGATTCACCGCCATAGTCACCATCCCCAATTCGTCACTTTTTTTTATGGGTGGGATTTCAAGCATCCCCAACTGCTGGCTTTCTGGATCCTTGGAGGAAAATTGCCTCCCAGGAACCACCACCGAGATCATAAACCAGGATGTTCCTCGGTCGGGGTCGAATATGGCAAGGGTCCAAGGCCGGTGTCTTGTTGGTAAAGATAATTAGGGACCACCATCCCCAAATTTACCATTCTTATGGGTGGGTTAAACACCATTAAAACATGGGTGGTTTTTTATTGTTTTACCAACATTGATTTGCCTTTCTATTTGGGGATGCACCACTTTTCTGCATCGTTTTGAACACATATAGAAAATTAGAAACAGCATTGCCGTGACAATTTTTCGATTTTTTTGGGGTTGGGGGTTGCAAGGTGGTGCACCCCAGTTCTGCAGTTCTAAGTCGGCTTATAAACCCAATTATCTAGTTTGACATTTCTCCCATAAATCATAGCAGCTAGTTATGTTCACCAACTGAGCTATCATCAATATAAATAGAAATCCCAATATTTCTGGCTTAAATATGATCAAATCATGGTTTACATCGCATTAAAAATCCCCATGGCAGGTTTTCCACATTCACTTCGCAGCCAAGCGTCTTCTCGGTCTTCTTGTCTAAGCCGTACGCAATGGCTGCCGCCGTGGGCTCGTTGATGATACGCAGGACGTTCAGGCCGGCGATGGTGCCAGCGTCCTGACGATGATGGAGATACCTTCTCCGTGGAAGATCACCATTTTTCATAGATAAATCAATGGAACTCCACCATTTTTTGCTGTGGAAAATCACCATTTCTGCTGTGGAAAAAAACTATAAGATGGCCATGTTCAATAGCAAACTGTTAAGGTACTCTAGAGGGTAGGGGTTTGTTTTCTGGCTGCTTTTTGGAGCACTTCAAGGGGGTACATGAACATATCCCCTTCAATTTGAAGATAGACTATATATTGTTAATTTTCAAACAAACCATATGTTTTAAACGGAAGATGACGATTACCTAGTGGATGTAGGGTTGCCCCCAGTTTCAAACGAATGAACGAATCCTATACATGCTTTCGGGCGACCACACCAAACAAACTGGATTTTAACAGCAATATGTTCAATTTCACAAGCCAAACAGTTATATATATATATATACACCGTTTATCATCATTTATCACGGGTTTCTGTTGGGCCCCAGGCTAACGATTGGGCTGATGATGCGTACACATAATATTATATATATATATATATAGTTCTATGTAATTATTATATATATAATATACTATATATATGTATATATATATATAAACAATTGTTTATTATATATATATAGTTCTATGTAATTATTAAATACAAATAAAATATATACTATATATATATATATACAGTATATATAAGTACAGTATATTTACTATAGAATACTATGTATCACACATGAAGCATCATGACTCATCACACTCAAGCATCCAAAGTCTTCAAATGAAGGAAAACATGCTGGCTGCTTTTGAAGGCAAAACAAGCAAACAATCACTGTAAAACACAATAAACAATCGAAACCGGTAGGTTTCGGGGGGGGTTAGCATATATATATATATACTATATATTTACTATATATATATATACTCTATATATATATAGTATAAATATATACTATATAATATATATATATATATACTCGACATATATAGAGTATATGTATATATGCTATATATATATAGAGTATATATATATATATATATAGAGTTTATATTTATATACTATATATATATATATATTCTAAAATATATACATATTCTATCTATATATATATATATATACTCAATATATAGCATATATATATATATGTATATGCTATATATATATAAATAAAGGCTATATATATATATACTATATATATATAATTATAGTGAGATGGGGTATGATGGGGTTATACCCTCAGCATCAAAATTCACGGAGCAATCCCCTCAACCATGGTCCCTCGGAAGGAGTCTAACCTTCCGTATGATTTGAAGATACTGTGGATGGGCCAGCGAAATCCTGCACCAAACTGTTTCAAACGGATGGTTGAAAACATGAAAACCTATATATCATGGAATGAATATGGATGTTTACCACCAATAATAAGTATAAACAATATTAAATAATTGGATGTTTACCACCTATCAACTGGTGCAGGATTTCAGGATTTCGCTGGCCCATCCAACGTAGCTCTGGAGCCCCCAAGCCCCTCACCCCAAATGGGGAATCCGGTGTTTGGCTCGGGATGGAAACGGTCCTTGGTGGACTGACGTTGGGCATCGTTGAAATAGGCTGGCACAGTCACCTCAGCAGTTGAAGGGCGAAAATGGCAGATGAAATCCACGGGTTCTTTAAGCACTGTTATGACTTTACAACATGTATAAACTTTATACACTCCCCAATCGGATTGTTATCCACTGTTCTGTTTTTCAGCAAAGAACAACAAGCATAGATTCCCGGTGGAGGTTCCATTGGATAAAGCAAAAACACCTTAAGCAAACCCAGGTAACCACCGCATGCTTCACTTCTTTGCCCAAGTAGTTCTCGGCAGTCTCCTGCACAGCGATCGGTGTCCATCGGTTCGACTTTTCGGGAGTGAAATGTGGGAAAAAAAGGAACGAAAGGCGGGTGTAATCAATTTTACCCTTCAAGGGACTGACAAAAAAGTGTTTTGTTGTTTCTTAAATGATATTACCCTCTGGAACATAGCCATGGAAAATCCACCCATTGGTAATAGGTAAACCATCTATTTCTATGGGCCATCTATACCATGGCTATGTTTGTCATACCAGAGGGTAACAACCATCATTTGGCTTCATGGATCTTAATGGATGTTAATGGATAGTAACGTGTTAATGGTTAGTAGATGGTAACCCCATCTAACCATGATTTTAACCATCTGTGGTTTCAGACTTCAGACCAGACACCCATTCATTTTTTAGGGCGTTGATATGTTGATGTATTATATGGCCACGACCATTGCACTGCCTAAACTGAAGATGTTTTTTCTCTGATGCCCGGACGTATTGGTTCCTGAGACAACTCAATATACCCTCTAGTAATCAAACGTTGCAATTGAAAATCCCCTGTAAATGAAGGTTTTAGTGGGAAAATCACCAAACATCGAACTAACTGCGGGGTTTTGGTGCCAGAGGCTATACCCAAAGCCAAGTACCAACCGGTACCAACAAGAATCTGCAAAAGCACTACAATTATGCGGTGAGTTTCGCCCTTTTTATGGTCAAATTCGGAGGCTCAAACGGAAGATCGGAGGCGTTTCGTGCATCAAATCGTTGGGAGGATCAGTGGCTTCTCGCAATGGATAAATGATGATGAACTATGGTTATCATGGTCAATTTTTGGTAGTCCCACAAATGCATCCTTTGCTGGTTATGGTTGTGGGTCTGGTTCCATAAAAAAGCACACAAAGCTACAGGATTAGCTTCTACCTTTCCAGTTGCTTGGAGGATGGATTAATCACTGACAGTACTGAGATGATCTTCCAAATAGCTCTTTGCCAAATCATATCTGCTCATATCATATCCTGAGCTTCCATTGCTGCACCCAAGGGCATCCTCACTAGGGACAATCGGCCCACTTCATTATACCATTAACCAGTTGAAGAATGTTGTGTTACTCTGTAGGATATGTATTTTTGACATGTGGATGGACAAAATCCTGCACCAGTTGGTGAATTAATGAGTAACTATAAAACACTGTAAATATGTAATGATAAATAATGGGGTTATAAGGAGATAAGCCATCTACCAACTGGTGCAGGATGTCTTCCATCCACAGTATCTATATGTCAATGAAGGTTAGCTATGGGTATAATTGCACGCACACACACAGATATATATATATAATATAATATATATATATATATATTTATAATATATATATTTAATATATATATTTATAATATATATATATATAAATAAATATTATATATATAATATGTGATATTGTATATATTTATAGAGCTTAGTTACATACTATACATACATGTTTGTATGTATAATTTTGTCTTCATTTTGTATTTTTTCGTTTGGTGCCCGCCTTAACACTACCATCCCGTTGTTTTTCCCCCATCGCATGAGGTTCGCCTTCATCTTGGTCAGGACCATGGAAGAGACCTCTTCGGGCGCCATAACCTTGTCCTCACCCTTCACCTACAGCAATGAGGGATGCAGCACGCCATTGGGTTGCACATGTGTTGTTTTTCAACAATGGAATTAATGGGAGTTACTGTGGTGAGAACAATTGATGGTCAGTATCAATCCAACATAATTATGACCACAATAACTCCAATTAAAGCCACTTTTTATTGCCACTTCATTGATCCATTACCCTCTGGTAAACTGTTACATAACTATGGAAAATCACAATTTTTAATGGGAAAACTCACTATTTCAACTGGGCCGTTTTCAATAGCTATTTTGACATAACCAGAGGGTAATCAAAACCACTTTTTCTTGTTGGATTGCTGTTGGTCAGTATCTCTTCTGGATCACGGTGAAATCCTCACTGGGACAGCAGAACCTCTTCCGGAAATAGCCGGGTTCAATCCGGGAGATGTTCGTAACAGGCCACACGAAGACCTGGACTGAACACGTTCAACACAGACATCACCTAGTTATAGACCGAATTGAACCCTTCGTGGAGAACATGGAGAACAATGAGTTCACCCAAAGTTTAAGTCATATATCACCTTTCTGTTCACCATATATCACCATATATCACACCAGAAGCTAGGCAGTTGCCACCAGCTTGGCCCATGTTGATCCAATCAAGGCGCATTTTTCACGCACCACACCGGGTGATGGCTGAAACACTCAGCAGTGGTGCATGTATCTGGGTAAATTATAATAATTCACTAACCTGAATTAAGGCCATTTAAGGATGATTCCCCTTACTAACTATGATTTCCAGTGAGGGAGAACAGTGAGGTCGTTATAATTTACCCTGATGTATGCTGGGTCAGACTGAAACACAAAGTGGAAAATCCCCTCGAAATGTCCTATAGATTTTCACATGTTTCCCTACATTTTTCAATGTCTAGGTCGCACTTCCCCATAATCCCATAGACCATGGTCGATTTGATGTTGATCTCAGCTTGCCTTGACGCTGATCATGGGCTTGCTTGCCTTGTCCACAATGGTAAAGGGCAAAAGCCTTGGTCTAACGCCAAACGCTGGCCACTTTATTCTATGGCTGGAGGGTAGAAGAAACTAATGTCATAATCAAACCATATTCTAGCATATAAATAAATAATTCAATATATATATATATATATATTCACACATAATCACATTTATATTTATAATATATATATATATATATAAAAATATAAATATATATATGAAACAGTATATCTCATATGTTTTCTGGTTTCCATCATGTAGATGTAGTTTGCTATGCTATTCATGGGCCATGGGATTCACTTTTCAATCACTTTGAGGACATCTGTGAAGCTAGACAGTCGTGAGATTTGTTTCATCAAAAAGATTTGTTCTCAAGCTGCCAAACGTGGGGGAACATGAGAATAGCTCTGATCAGGATATCTAACATCCATCTCTGGAGAAATGCACTAAAGGCTTGATGTAAGTCAATGTTATTCTTGCGTCACAAGGGTTTGGGTTCAACTGCTGGAGATGTTGAAACTTCAATCTGCCAGTCAGCCTTCCCAAAATCCCACTGCAGAACAATTATGGCCCCACCACGCCAACATGTTAAAATATGTCTCTTTGCGCACATTCTGCGGGTTGACAGTTTCTGTTTTTTTTTGGTGTTTTGTTAGAGCGACGGATTGTTTCCTGGTAGGGCCATGAAACTCCCCTTTCAACTATTCCAGCACCTGCCCTTAGTGACAGTTTAGCTATCATTGTAGCACCCCCCGGAAAATGTAGAAAAGTAAAACCCTACCATCAAATATTGGTGATCACTGGATTTTTTCATGGAGCACTCACTGTAGATACACAGGTTTGTCGGACAACAGGGTACCCCATAATTTCATGTAGTTGATGACAAGTCTATATTAAATGACAAATTTAGGGCTATCATCTAATTTTGTAGATTCCAGGGATGGTTTTTGGCAGCTTTGCTAGCTACTATACATCACATCAACCCCCACATCCTCCACACGTTTCGCGCCGCGGCGCTTGATGTCCTTCTGCACGGTAGAATCCTTGAAGCGGCGTCCAATCAGACGCTTGACATCAAAGAGGGTCCTGGCCAGGCAGGGCTAGCGTTGCTTTTCTGGATGCCAAAGAATCTGAGTATACTGAGATATTAAGTATGTTTATGTTGAGTATATGATATTTGTTTACACATGTTAAGTATTTCAGTATGTTAACTGTACCTAAGTATCATATGCATTCTTGCTCGCAGTTCACACGCGCACACACACACATATATATATATGTATTGGCTATTTGTTTGGGAATATACCCTATTTTCAGACAAACCCATATCAGAACCCAAAGGAATCTTTCCGCCAACAAAAAAAAAACTACTACATACCACTAAAGAAGTACCAAGCTCCCAACGCATTCAACAAAACATCCAATCAACAAAACACCCAATCCCAATTATTGAACTAAATACCCATTAAACAAACCACCCATCTTGTGGTTGGGAAATTCAATTTGTAGTTTCAACTGGCTCCCCATTTTTTGTAGGGAACATACCCATAGCTCCCTTAACCGCTCCCTACGAACCTTCCTACTCAAAAGCACCCAAACAATCAACAAACATCCAAAAAAAAAACTTAAAACATCCATTAAACCTCCATGAAACCTCCATTAAACCTCTATTAATCATGAAATCCCCACGAATCAACGTTAACAAACCATCCGTGCGCCACGTGCACCAAGGCGCTGGGTGGGGTTGATGGTCGCCTGATTCTTGGCCGCCTCGCCGATCAAGCGCTCCTCATCCGTGAAGGCCACATAGGAAGGCGTGATGCGGTTGCCTGCGTCGAGGTTAAAAAGGTGGGTAGATGAATGCAGATTAACTGATATCAACTAGATATTATCTGATATATCTACTTCTATAGAAATATTAATGCTGATATTATCTGATACATCTACTTCTATGGTAATATTAATACTGATATTATCTGAGATATCTACTTCTATGGTAATATTAATACTGATATTATCTGCTATCTACTACTATAGTAATATGAACACTGGAATTAATATCTGATATATCTACTTCTATGATAATATTAATACTGATATTATCTGATATATCTAATTCTATAGTAAAATTAATACTGATATTATCTGGTATATCTACTTCTATAGTAATATTAAAAGTGATATTATCTGCTATCTACTACTATAGTAATATGAACACTGGTATTATCTGTTATTTCTACTTCTATGATAATATTAATACTGATATTATCTGGTATATCTACTTCTATAGTAATATTAATACTGATATTATCTGCTATCTACTACTATAGTAATATGAACACTGGTATTATCTGATATTTCTACTTCTATGATAATATTAATACTGATATTATCTGATATATCTAATTCTATAGTAAAATTAATACTGATATTATCTGATATTATCTGATATATCTAACGTAATATTAATACTGATATTATCTGATATATCTACTTCTATAGTGATATTAAAAGTGATATTATCTAATATATCTACTTCGTTAGTGATATTAATACTGGTTTTATCTGATATATCTACTTCTATGATAATATTAATACTGATATATCTAATTCTATAGTAAAATTAATACTGATATTATCTGGTATATCTACTTCTATAGTAATATTAAAAGTGATATTATCTAATATATCTACTTCTATAGTAATATTCATGTTGATATTATCTGATATATCTACTTCTATGGTAATATTAATACTGATATTATCTTATATATCTACTTCTATAGTGATAGTAATACTTCTGATATATCTACTTCTATAGAAATATTGATACTGATGTTATCTGAGATGTTTACATCTATAGTGATATTAATACTGGTATTATCTGATATAACTACTTCTATAGTATTAATACTGATCAATACATTAATACTGATATAATCTGATTAGCTGATGCTAACTGTGGTTTATGGTATATATATGTTATAAACTGGTAGATGATACTAACTGTGCTAGATTAATGTTAGTTACCATTAACTGATATTAACTGTGAATTATGGTAGATATCTACTTCTACAGTAAATGGTATATATATATATGGTATATCATGGTATATCTATAGTAAGGCACATAAAAACAGTGGTTTATGGTAGGTATATCGATAGTAATCAATCAACTTAGATTAACCAAAATCAACTGTATTTTTGTTGATTGGAATTAGTAGATTGACTTAGGCTAACTTGGAGTAACTATGGACTAACTATACTATGGTAGATAGATCTACATCTATGGTAATATACTATGGTGTAATAAATTAACGTTGATTAACAATGGTTTATGGTAGATATACCTTGAGATACCTAGAGTCAATCTACAGTTACTGGTGTTTGTCAAACTAACCTAGCAAACATAGCTGTGGGCAGCACTTTGTGGTGACTTGGGATCGCAGTGAGGTGCAGAGAGACGAGATCATTTTGCTTCGGGGGGTAACCTTAGGTACCTCAAACATAGTAACCCCCAAAAAAATAGAACAATATATAAATCATCACAATTTTAGTAGGATTTACTTTATTTTACTTACTATAATTATCTATAATTCTATCTTTTCGGGGTTACTATATCCTAAAGTTGACTTCTAAACATAGCTTGTAGATCATATTCCCGCACGAAAATGGTTGCTGGCTAAGACCTTGTCCTCGGACTAAAGGTGGTGCTCACGAATGATGTGCATTTTTTCTCCAAAGGCTTAAAATGGCTTAAAATAGTTGGTAACACATTGCATTATATTACAACATATTGTTAATAGTTATCATGGCAACATATGGCAACACTACCTTCAAAATTGCTAACACATGAAATCAATTCTACTTTCCGATGGCAAGTGATATATATGTTCAGCGGCCATTTCAGGAACCGATTTCAGAAGGTACCTACCATGGGTTTACCGCCTGGAATGTGATCATAGTGGATTGCCCGAGATATTTCCCATCAAATCCATGATTCAAATCCCATGAATTAATACCATTAAATATCATTAAACATAATGAAAAACCCTCCATTTCGTGGATTGTCCCATGGATTTCCTGTGTTTTTCCAGAAATACCTAGAGAAAGGCACCTTGATCATTGGGGATGATCTCCACTCGGCCGTTCCTGTGTTCGTGGATCCCGTGCCGGAAAGTCCCTCCCTTGGTTGGTCCCCGGGATCAGAATTATCGTTATCTGAAGTGAAAAGTACATAGTTAGTTGATGTTAGTTATCACTTTATCCATACTAACTATAGATAGATTTTGTTGCCTACTAAGTTCATAGATAGTTATCCCATAGCATATGAACGTGTACTTTATCTATAGTTATAGCCATCTATATGGGATAAACCACTTCATAAACCACTCAAAAAGGGGTAAGTATATTGGGTCAGATGGCAAACCCTATGTCACAAACCCCACAAAATCACCATTTTCATGGGTGCTATAAACCACCAACCCGTTGTATTCGGAGCACCTGAACGTGGCCTCCCTCATAGGGGATATGGAACCCTATAGCTCCGCACCCAGCGAATAGGAAACAAAGTGGGTTTTTGTTGTTTAGGAGGTTTTGAGTGGATGAACTATCCCAGATGCTCCATGTATGGAATATTTACCTACATTTACCCCAAAAATCACCCAAATGTAGGTAAATATTCCATACATGGAGCATATGGGTATGACATACTATGACTGTAATATACTATAACTGTCCAGTGAATGGAGAGCTTCGAAGCTCTAAAGACTCTAGTTGTATCCATATTCCGGATTCCACATATTCTCGACAAAGATTGCAGAACCAAGGAGCAACGAATTGAGTTTCCCAACCACATGAAATTCAAGAACTTCTCATGTCCAAGGAGTTTCCATGCTGTTTTCGGTGGAAAATTGAGATAAGTAGCTGGAACTAAGCTTTCACATCTGTGTCCTAAAGTTGGAAGCCATTCTTTCCACCCAACTCATTTGGCACATAAGATGTCAGCGGATTCAATGCTGGAACTCTTCGGCAACATCACGCCTGTTGTTTTTCTCGGACCTTCTCTGAATGGTCTTCGTCAATAGATAGGACAGTAGCTTGGTAAAGTATGGTGGATTTTTTTGGATGGTTGTAGGGAGTCTCTCACCTCAGAATAGGGATGTTTCCGATGCGATTTCCGATGTTTCCAGTCAAGGTGGTTCCCCATGTTCAAATTCCAACGGATCCGCACCTTTTGGCCAAGCAACTTGTAGATGCCCACGCAGGAGTAGGTGGTTCCCAAGTCAATACCTATAGGCGCGTTTCACCAAATGGGATGATATGGAACTCTTGGCTGGGTTTGCTTGATAAATTAGGGGAAAACCAGCCAACAATTGATGGTTCACTATATATGTTTTCCCTATTAAATGCTATAAAATTGACATATTAATTTAAGGGAAATTTTGGTGGTATACCCCATTTTCGTCTACAGAGCCAAGTGCTTGTGAGGAGTTGTTCTCCAATTTTCTAATCTGGCAAAAAGGGCGATTGTCTGAGATGGGATCTGTATCCAGACATGAGAGGTTGTGCATTGCTATGTTTGACTATGAGAAGGTATAAGAGTGGCGGACAAAATTACTTGCTACTCGCAATGGACATGGCCAAAGTGGGTGGTCCCCTATCGGTCGTGAAGGTTTGTACCTCCTTGCTATGTGCAAAAAAAGGTGGTATCGGTAAGTGGGTGGTCCCCTATCGGTTGTGAAGGTTTTCACAGAAATTTGAACATCCCAAGTCCACTTCCCTTTAGTCTTCCGCGAATTTTGCCGATTACTCATATGGACAATGACCTCCAGTAGGTGGGCCTCATTGGAGCAAACCACACCAAGCAATTTTCACCACACAGTGATGCTGTGGAATGATCATCTCGCAGGCAAGGAACACCCATACCCAAACTACCAACACTGGTTGCTGTAGATATCACCTGCCTCCCCCAAACACAAAAGGTACCTTTTCGGCCCAAGGTAGGAGGGTTGTAAAAATGCTAAATTAAACAGCTATAAAACAATGTTCCCATTTAGAACCTCCCAATTTGAAAAAAGAAAAAAACAATACTAGTTTCCCCGAACTTGTTCGAAACATTCAGGATATGACAATGATATTCATCATTCAATTCCAACCATCCAAAAAGACATGATGACACTTTCCCAGCGTCACAATCCCACGACCATCGCAAACAAGGGCGCCGATCACGGGTCCGTCGATCTTCTTCTCGTCCTCCTTGGCGGTCACCAGGCCAGCCACCTGTGCAGGTCGGAGAGGTCATGCATTGGCTATGGTTGGATGGTGCCCCAGTTCGTTAGCTAAGTTGGCGAACATAACTCCAATTTCACTATGGTTTGTGGCAGATATAACTATACTTAATGGGGTTTATAAACCAACTTATAACTGGGGGGCACCATCCTGTATGGGCTTATGTTCTTTTTTAGACTCTTAGACACCATATCCAGAAGTTGGGATAGGAGATGATAGCTACGCAGCTACCCTATAGTAGCTACGTGGTGGCGAACTACCCACGGATCCCAACAGTTTTCAGCTTAGTTCACCCTTGTTCGTTGAGTGGATTATAACCCTACTAGGGATACAAGCTACTAAGTGGGATGAGCCATGAAGTATCACTTTGAGGATTTTAGACACCATAAGCTGGGATAGGTTAACATTGGCTAATTCAAAATAACTCCGGAGATGGGACCCCTGTAACTAATTGTAACTATGGTGTTTTTTTCCCACTTAGTTGTGGAACTGAAACCCCGAGTAGGGGATAACAAGACATATGACTGGGACCAATGGGAATGTTCCATATAATGAATGGGGGGGATTAATATGCGCAGGAGAATTTGGATGTACATTTAACATGCAGGAAAGGTATACATAATGATAGGCCAACGTCGGATTCGGAAACTTCAGCGTCGGATTCGGAAACTCCCAGGCCTTCGGATTCGGAAACTCCCTCCCCCCCGGATTCGGAAACTTTGGCGTCGGATTCGGAAACTTCCAGGCCCTCGGATTCGGAAACTTCGAAGCCCACGGATTCGGAAACTCCCTGGCCCTCGGATTCGGAAACTTCCTGCCCCTCGGATTCGGAAACTTCGAAGCCCACGGATTCGGAAACTTCCAGGCCCTCGGATTCGGAAACTTGCTGCCCCCCGGATGCGGAAACTTCCTGGCCCTCGGATTCGGAAACTCCGAGCCCCCCGGATTCGGAAACTTCGAAGCTCACGGATTCGGAAACTTCCAGGTCCTCGGATTCGGAAACTTGCTGCCCCCCGGATTCGGAAACTTTGAAGCCCACGGATTCCGAAACTTCCAGACCCTCGGATTCGGAAACTTGCTGCCCCCCGGATTCGGAAACTTCGAAGCCCGCGGATTTGGAAACTTCCGGGCCCTCGGATTCGGAAACTTGCAGGCCCTCGGATTCGGAAACTTCAAGGCCCACGGATTCGGAAACTCCCAGGGCGTCGGATTCGGAAACTCGCTGCCCCCCGGATTCGGAAACTTCGAAGCCCACGGATTCGGAAACTTCCAGGCCCTCGGATTCGGAAACTTCAAGGCCCACGGATTCGGAAACTCCGTGGCCCTCGGATTCGGAAACTCCCTGCCCCCCGGATTCGGAAACTTCGAAGCCCGCGGATTCGGAAACTGCTAGTGGAAAGTTACTGAGATTTTACTGTTCAAATGAAACCTGCAGACTCCAGAAAAACTCATTGCCATCAAGAATATATACAGAATATGTGTATACTTTATACTGTATATATATATATAATTGAAAGGGAATACACAATCTAGAAAATAAATGAGAAATTACCAGTAGTACTGCGCAAGGCGGTGGCGGAAGTTTCAAAAATAGGAAATCTATAGGCAGGGTGTGCCGGGCATGCCGTAGAATGGGAACCGGACCGAGTGAGAAGAACTCTATGCAAGGGAAGGATGTGCATTGAGGACTACCATTGCATGCAGAGCTTTGGGTGGGGGAAGTTTAGAAAATGACTTGCAATCGTGACAAGAACTCTGTGAAAGGGAAGGATGTGCATTGAGGACTACCATTGCATGCAGAGCTTTGGGGGGGGGAAGTTTAGAAAATGACTTGCAATCGTGACAAGAACTCTGTGAAAGGGAAGGATGTGCATTGAGGAATACCATTGTATGCAGAGCTTTGGGGGGGGGAAGTTTAGAAAATGACTTGCAATCGTGACAAGAACTCTGTGAAAGGGAAGGTATGCATTGATGACTACTATTGCATGTAGGGCTTTGGGGGGGGAAGTTTAGAAAATGACTTGCAATGGTGACAAGAACTCTATGCAAGGGAAGGATTTGCATTGAGGAATACCATTGCATGCAGGGCTTTGGGGGGGAAGTTTATAAAAAGACTTGCAACCGTGAGAAGAACTCTATGCAAGGGAAGGATGTGCATTGAGGAATACCATTGTATGCAGAGCTTTGGGGGGGGGAAGTTTAGAAAATGACTTGCAATGGTGACAAGAACTCTATGAAAGGGAAGGATATGCATTGAGGAATACCATTGTATGCAGAGCTTTGGGGGGGGAAGTTTATAAAAATGACTTGCAACCGTGAGAAGAACTCTATGAAGGGAAGGATGTGCATTGAGGAATACCATTGTATGCAGAGCTTTGGGGGGGGGAAGTTTAGAAAATGACTTGCAATGGTGACAAGAACTCTATGAAAGGGAAGGATGCGCATTGAGGACTACCATTGCATGCAGAGCTTTGGGGGGGGAAGTTTAGAAAATGACTTGCAATGGTGACAAGAACTCTATGAAAGGGAAGGATGTGCATTGAGGACTACCCTTGCATGCAGAGCTTTGGGGGGGGGAAGTTTAGAAAATGACTTGCAATGGTGACAAGAACTCTATGCAAGGGAAGGATGTGCATTCAGAAATACCATTGCATGCAGAGCTTTTAGGGGGGGAAGTTTAGAAAATGACTTGCAATCGTGACAAGAACTCTGTGAAAAGGAAGGATGTGCATTGAGGAATACCATTGTATGCAGAGCTTTGGGGGGGGGAAGTTTAGAAAATGACTTGCAATGGTGACAAGAACTCTATGAAAGGGAAGGATGTGCATTGAGGAATACCATTGTATGCAGAGCTTTGGGGGGGGAAGTTTATAAAAATGACTTGCAACCGTGACAAGAACTCTATGCAAGGGAAGGATGTGCATTGAGGACTACCATTGCATGCAGAGCTTGGGGGAGGGAAGTTTAGAAAATGACTTGCAATCGTGACAAGAACTCTGTGAAAGGGAAGGATGTGCATTGAGGACTACCATTGCATGCAGAGCTTTGGGGGGGGAAGTTTAGAAAATGACTTGCAATCGTGACAAGAACTCTGTGAAAGGGAAGGATGTGCATTGAGGAATACCATTGCATGCAGAGCTTTTGGGGGGGAAGTTTAGAAAATGACTTGCAATCGTGACAAGAACTCTGTGAAAGGGAAGGTATGCATTGATGACTACTATTGCATGTAGGGCTTTGGGGGGGGAAGTTTATAAAAAGACTTGCAACCGTGAGAAGAACTCTATGCAAGGGAAGGATGTGCATTGAGGAATACCATTGCATGCAGAGCTTTGGGGGGGGGGAAGTTTAGAAAATGACTTGGAATCTTGATAAGAACTCTATGCAAGGGAGGGTGGAGTTGCTGAATCGGGACAGGGTGGAGTTGCTGAATCGGAACAGGGTGGAGTTGCTGAATCGGGAGGGGGTGGAGTTGCTGAATCGGGACAGGGTGGAGTTGCTGAATCGGGACAGGGTGGAGTTGCTGAATCGGGACAGGGTGGAGTTGCTGAATCGGGACAGGGTGGAGTTGCTGAATCGGGACAGGGTGGAGTTGCTGAATCGGGACAGGGTGGAGTTGCTGAATCGGGACAGGGTGGAGTTGCTGAATCGGGACAGGGTGGAGTTGCTGAATCGGGACAGGGTGGAGTTGCTGAATCGGGACAGGGTGGAGTTGCTGAATCGGGGGTGGAGTTGCTGAATCGGAACAGGGTGGAGTTGCTGAATCGGGACAGGTGGAGTTCTGAATCGGGACAACCCGGAGTTTCTGAATCCTTGGAGTTTCTGAATCGGAGTTGCTGAATCGGGTAAAGTTTCTGAATCGTAATTATTCCTTTCTGGTAACATGCAGGAAAGGTATACATAATGATACGTATGGTAGGTATGTATTGCAAATGTCATCCATAATGCAGGGAATGGGGGTGATGTCATTATACAACATATCTTGGGGTTCCAACAACTTCAGGATTCAACTGGCATACCATATTATTATCTGATAACTATGGACAAGTCATCATACGCTAATGGGTCTGCATTAATTAGTACTGTATAGATGCAGTAAGCTGTATGGTGATATGATAATGGTATATAATGGTCGTATCTCATTTGATTGGTTTTGTTGGGACAAATTGATGCATGATGTTTTTTATCAGATTAAATCCGTGGATTGTTTCTGGGAAAATGATTGAAACCCACGGCTGTTTCCCATCAGTTCTAGGCCTATTAAAACTCAGGGGCACACCATTCTATTTATTTTCCCTTCATCCACTTCTTGGAGTGCAATTTATTAATATGATATTCATTGATATCCTGCGGGCATTGGGTAGGCATTTCCGGGGAGTGCTAAACTTGTAAATTTTGGTAGAACATGTGCATGCGCGTGTTTTTGTCGGCAATCCATGGGTACCAAGATAGAGTAAATATATGTTGTCAAAAAGATCCAGAACGTGAGTTCCAAGATTTTACCTCCAAGTTTCAGACTCCAACGCAGCATTGAACCCTCAAATCAGCAGAATCTTACGAGTATGGTGTAGAAATCCTTCCTGCAAAACAAGCACAACCTCTGCATGTTATATGAGATATATAAGTTATATACCTCAAAAAACATGCATTAAGCACCAATGTGTTCACACTACCGCACTTCCTGGGTTACATGACCACCCGGCAAGGAAAACGTCTACAGCCGTGCCGCGAAAAGGGACAGGACAGCCGCTTTCCACATGGCCATCAAAATTGTCGAGTTTTGCCGCGGGATTTTCGTAAAACGCCTTGAGCCACCTTTCCAGTCACCTGATTGCTACCTCAGGGGGGGGGGGTCTGGAATGGCTACTTTCCCCAAAATGCGGAAAATTGGAGGTCTGCAAGAAGATTCAGGTTGTTCACTAAATGTCCGCTTCCTGGGGTCCAAAATGAAGACACACTCTACACATATTGATCGATCTATATGTCTATCTGGAAAAAATCAATCTGTCACTCGCCTGAACTTTTTTTGGTGGCCATTTCGGGAATAGTTACCCTTACTAAGATTACTAAGTACTAGCAATCATCATATTCATCCACTTAATTGATGTTAATTGTATAGCCACCAAAACATGGGGCAACCAGTTTTGGAGACCTGGAAACACTTTAAGGGCACCTTTTTGGGGACCCACCTTTCAGCGGCTTGAACTGGGGTAACATGTAAAAACCATCATTTATTAGGATATCATTCCGGTAACTATAGCATACTATAGCTATACTATATATAGTCGTCTATATAGCCTATATAGCCTATATATAGCCACTTGATCGAATTCCCTACCTTGTTGCTCCAACATCCCAACTTTTTGGATAACATATTGACACTCAAAAATTTACATATCCCTTGCAATTCCCTTGCGCTATACCATGCTATGCTATGCCTTAACGGCTGTATCCCCTGGGTTCGCAGGCTCCAGACATCTTCATCTCGAAGACCTGCCGGGCGACCGTGTAATATATGGGACTCCTCGATGGGAATTTCACCATGAGAAATGGCGCATTTATAGAGGATTTACCCTTGAAACATGGTGACCTTCTAGTGTTCCAGCCCGCAAACTGTTCAACTACCAGCTCGGGCAGTCTATTTGGAAAAGAAATTTGTGACTCCAGGGCCATCAGCGTGCGAATCAAAGAGATGATGTCACCCAATTTCAAGTGTCAATTGTCCCAACTGGGTAGTTTGCCTTTACCTAATTTTACTGTAACATCTCCTGCAAAAAATATTGTGTTGATTTTACATTAAGTGTTTAATTGAATGTTCATTTTTCTTCGCCGGGGCCATGCGTACATCGTAAAACTTGAAAAATCAAGTTCCGGGACTTCACATCTATATATGGATTTGAACAGTTGCACCATTGTTTTTTTCCATTTTGGGTGGGGGTTCGTCCAGGATAGGATTTGGTTACAGTGAAACCTCATTAAATGGAGGTTTAGTTCGAGCTGGTGGGTTTTCAAGCAAACAATGTTTCATTCCCAGAGTGGCATCAGACGGACCCTCTTTCTGTCTTTGAGCCAGTTGGCTAAGTCAACCCGTGTTTCGTTCAATCTTCTCGTGCTAGCACTTCCGCATTATTGAAATTATATCACGTGAGTAAAGCAGCAGTAAACCATCCCAAGGTGTACCAGTTGCCATAAATGGGAATAAACCATCAAACCAGGGGTGGTTTATTCCGGCTTTCCTAAGATTCATGTGTTTCATGTCTCGCTGGAAATCACATCTTTTGCTGTGATATAACGCAATGCCTTGTTTTCGTCAGGAAGTGAAGCCAAATCCTCTTGAGCGCTGGCGTGATGGTCAAGCACAACCACGCCCTGGCACGCCAAGTGGGTGTCTGATACCATGGGTGAAACCGCCCCCAAACGATCTCAAATGGCAATTCTGAAAGGGGTTTTAATGGGAACAATATGGCAACAATATGGCAACATTATGATCAACCATCAAACTTTTGGGATATCCATTTTTCAGACAAAACGAAATGCGATGGTTTGTGATATTCAAAGCCCTCTGCCATCACTTTAGACACAAAGGTCATAATGATTAGGGAGTACCAGAATGGGAATTTGAACGTGGTAAAATCAAGATTCAAGACCAGATTCGTACCAATGAATGCAGGAATAGTCATAGTTGTCAATAATTATGGATATGATTGGTTACCCAAAGTGATAGTGGTCACATGCGTCCACACAAAGTCAGGCGTTATATCAACTTGATAATGTAGTGAGGGGAGATACCCAAAATCATATTATTCATTCCATATCCGCATTGTTTCGGGTGCTTTCATGTAACAATGTCATCATGTACAGGGTGAGGCCCTCCAGTTATAAGTTGTTTTATACACCCCATTACAGATATTTAAACAGTTACACCCCTCCCCTTATAAACCACAGAATTCACCAAGTGAACTCTGCATCAACTGAACGATTTCGTCAGGGGGAGGGCCTCACCCTGCGCCAACCTCCAGGTTGTTCACATTCACTGGGTAATCATGGTCCAGCTAGCCAACACGACACATCACCACATATACCATCCACTATTCACAAATCCACAAGCCATTGCCCTTCGGTTTGAAACATGGCAACCCATTAGCTACCATAAATACATTATATGTTTAACACATATCAAACAGGAACCATCAATCCATGAACCCAAATATACCGAACAAAGACATCCAACATCCATAAATCATTCCATTGCCTTTCGGTATTCAATCGCGGCTAGCTGGGGAAAAAAAAACGAACTAAATGGAGGCTTTTACTCGGCCGGGAAAATCATAAAACTAAACCGTGTGTTTTTCAGGAAGTGATGTTTGACTACCAGCAGGTATTGACATCATATGCAATTAATGTTGGTAAAACAACAATAAACCATCCCCCAAATCACCATAGATAGGCGGTATGTTTACCATTCCCAAATGGATTGTTTATGGTATTGTTTTACCCACATTGTTCCTAGCTATTTACCGGCAATTCGTTCAACAATTCAGACAGGAACGGTCGAGCTTGAGACATTATCCAATAGCGCTACTGATCTGCCTGGGGTGCCACCCTAAGAATGACCATCCGGGACTTCAATCTTGCATTTCTTTGGAAAAGACTCAAGACACCAAAAAACGCTGCATTGCTTTCGCTTGTATACCAATTTATACCATCATCCCTCTGTTCATCCCACAGCCGTGACAAACTGGGCTGTTGGCGCCTTGGCTCTCTTCTTCAGATCGTCCATGGTGTCCTTGTCCTCAGCTGGGAGCAGTCAGAGCAATTTTCCAGCGGTCCAACCGTCCAGGGAAATTGGTTGATCACATGGCTCTTGTCAAGTCACGGGGGCACCCCCAAATCATCCATTTTATGTTCGGATTTCCCTTCGAAACCGTCCAGCTATTGGGGTTTCTCTATTTTTTACGAAACCTTTAAATTTTATATTTGGTCATACTTGTTTCTACTGTCGATAACATGATATAACATGTTCTCTCGCCATAGCGCAGCCTGGCACCCTCCCCTTGTATTCTGCGCGTGTTGTGACAAAGACAGTCATGCTAAATTGATACAATTGACCCATACCCACAGAGAGAGAGAGAGAGAGGATGCATCTTGGATGCTGTCAACCCCGGATCAATAAACGAAGGCTGATTCGTGGTTGCCACCAAATAGTCAGATGAGTCATAACTCAAAACTCATACCCGACCATTCAAATGGTGACCTCTAAATATCTTTAAATTAAACAGCCCAGAGGCCCAGAGGAAAATCAATCAAGGGCTGACATGACTTGTTACAGCCGTCTGCTGTTCATGGCCCGTTGGCCGGGGCCAACGGTCAGGTGCCAAAAAGCAAAAAAAGTAAGGCATGTTTTTTTTAAAAAAGAAAGGGGGTGAACGAAAAAGGTGAACAAAATAGAAGTCTACAAATCAAACGCAAATACATGTGCGGTAAAGACAACCAAATATTGTATAATCAAGAGCAAAACTCGAAGAGCAAAATACTGAAACAACCTGGAGCGCACATGAAGGGTACATCATGGCCTTTAAACTCTACACCTTAGCGAATGAATCCTGGCCCTGGAGAACCACGAGGATGGAGACGTAGCTTGAAAGGAATGCTCATCATAGATGTCCCAAATTCCCACGGGCTGATTGCTGAAAAAGAAGGGCCGCCCCCTTCAACAGCCTCAACAGGTATACTTCCGGGCTTCCGCAACATGCATGCAGGCTGTGACCCTCACGCTTGCACGAAGTGCATTTTGGACATGGTTGGCATCCAGTAGGAAATCGGGTTTTCTCTTCTAACTGTTTTTGCCCTTTGACATCAAAAGGAAATAAACGAACAAAAACAACATGAAGCACCATAAAACTTTTTAACCATCTAAAACCATATTTAGCTTGATGCCAACATGTTCAATCGCAGCCAACCCCGCAGCACAAGTCCAAGTACGCAATGCAAAGCCACAATGCCAAGGAGCAAAGGAAAAGTCCAGGATAGCAATGGTTTTGCCATCCACATTCTCTGGCACGCGCTTGTTACCTGCATTGCATCATTCTCTCAGGTACGTAAAATGGTATCCACTTTGGGGTGTCGGACAGAACAAAAAGATGGAATAAAAAACAAACATATTAAATGTAAAGAAACAACAATCAACAGATTGATCAACCCGCTTAAACACATGCTATTGGAACTGGAACCGTCCTCTGAACACAAATGTTCCTAGAAATTATGCCCAAAATATGGACACATATATTTCATATATTATATAATTAGTCAGATTCATCACTTAGTTTCACAATGCCCCACAACGCACATTACTTGGCAATTTGGTGCAATTGTGCATCCAGCAAATTATCCAAGCAATCTGGCGGCATTCAAAGAACCTGCCATCATGGAACAGCGGAACAGCATGGAACAGCAACGCAGGGAATCATCGTCCGCACACCCCACAACTTGAGTTTCTATGGGTTGGTTTTCAGCTGGGACTGATGGATGCAGTATCTAGCATTCCTGGTCGTAAAGCACGCATGTCCCTCATCATATCTCAGACAGTCATACATCATTCCGATATGGCAGGCCAGTGTTAAAACACACTTCCTCCACAGAAAAAAACACAAAAAAAAAACACTGCTGGGTTAAACCGACATTCTGATACCAACCAACATACCTTCTGGTTTGGTTATGTTTGGTTACCGTTGGGTCATACATTCTCTCCCTCCATCCCCCAGCCAGCTCCCAGCTCCCACCGCACCGCAGGTCAGACCCACATACTCGCAGTCTTTGCCCAGCCGTAAGTACGCCTGGCATTTCAGGGCGAACAACCGCTTTTCCAACGGGATTCACCTAGCGCTGGGAAATCCCCCAAACTAAATGGAGGTTGCTGGGAAAATTAAATAATCTACTGGCTTGGTGTGAAGGAAAATCAACAGAAAACCCTGGATGTTATATATAGTTTTTAACTTTTTTCCGGCACAATTTCCTGAAACCATTGTGACGTCATGATTCTCAACTCTACTTTTGGGTATCTACCTGAGCTGTGCCGAACACAAGATCTATTGTAGCAGCTACAACTTGTGAATGTGGCGCGGCCTCCCTGTGAAAGATACATGCCGTAACCTGATCTAGTAGAAAAAATATTCCTTAATCAATAGACCTCTATTTTTGGTGGTTTCATTGTTTGCTATACTTGCATCTCCCAGTTTCAAATGGGAAAACCCCCATCACTGCGTGATATGCAGTAATTCTGATAGTTGCCAACGGTCGACACAGTCCTACTGACATCCTACCTGAAGTTAAAGCACATCAGTAACGAAGGATCACAGCGCAGCTATATCTACCAAACAATGGTCAGATTTTTTAAAAATATCACAATCAATATAAGAATAAGTAAAGGGGCAGGTTTGGCACACTGTTTAAGATAACTCACCATATTTTGCACCCATAGATCAACTCATAATTTTCCAAGTTAAATCTCCTTTTCCCACCATGTTCCTAGTTAAATCACCTTTTTCCCAATGAAATCCATCAGGTTTCCATGTTTAAATCCAATTTTTTAGCTAAATCTCAATTTGTCAATGGTTGACGGTTAAGCCGCTTGAACTGACCAATTAGCGGTTGTTGAATGGATGGACTCCTCTTTTCGAAACGACCATCCCAGTGGGTAGTTGGTCCATGTCGGTCCCACCGCGAAAGCCGCAGCGAAGCCGTCTGGGCACATGGCGTGGAAAATGACCTCAGCTGGTGTCCTTTAGCAGGACGCTCGATGTTTAATCAGTTTATATCCCATAGGATCCATGGTGCTGGTATATATGCTAACATGACTGGGGTATATTGATGGGATCCATGTTACCATATATACCAGCACCATGGATCCTATGGGTATACTTCTAGTTGACTTTATAGCAACTAGTAACCCCCAAAAAGATGCCGACCAGTTGGACACCTGGAAATTTTCAGAGGAAACGATCATCGAACAGTTGCATACTGCAGAAATTGTTCGGCATCATTTTGGGGTTTGCAATAGTTTTATTGTAGTAACATGTAGCAACTAGAGCAACCCCTACAAGCCCATAGAAAGGTAAAATTCGATCTTCAAATGCTGGAAACTTATGTGTCAATCCTTTTGGGGTTGCTATAACTGACCAGCTGTGGTTGGCAATAAAGTTACTTCATAGCGAATTGTAATGGAATTGCTTTTCATGAAGAGATATGAAGAGTAAACCAAACTGAAATAAGAGCACATAATGTTTCAACCCTGCATGAAAATAGTTCAAGTGGTGAGCCCACTTTGATGGCAAATGATTGCGCCCCAATTAAATTTTGAATAATCCTTAGAGGGCAGTTGATATTTCCAGCCACATGTTGATTCATCAGTTGCAGGACGTTTTTTGCCAAGGGTTGGCAGCAAATACACATGCAACACACATCAAGAGCAGAATGATGGAACAATCAAGAGCTTTGGATTTCAAGAGTCTGGACACAGATCATTAACATAACCAACGTTATCGTTGTTTTTCCTCTTATCGTTTTTTTCGAGTGAAAACTAAAACTAAACGAATAGGCGCAGGGTTTTTACAAACTCCAATATATCAGAATCAATGGGTTCATGGTACTGTTCCAGAAATACTCCAGGGAAAGCACTACAGGGCACTCCTACTTCCCCGACAATAGCAATAGTGTCTTCAAACCAATGAGATCACAATGAAGAGGTTCATCTCCCCCATATAGTCCAATATATCCTACAATTTCTCCAGCTCAACCCCCTCCCCCCATCCTTTGCCCTGGGCAATCCTGGCCATGTCCACCTTTTTGGGATCCACGGCCTTCTGCTTCAATGGGAGGCTGGACAAGAGACTTGTCTCCTGTCCAGAGATGACGCCAACCTCAAAGGCGTTGCAGACGTTGACGCAAGACCTGGAGATCATCCCACTTCGTCACCATGGCTGCCACACCACCTCCAAGCCATCGCCAGTTTTATGGGTGCCATGCTTAAAGCGTCCCCAATCATGGTAGTTGGTTATGGCAGGGTTTCCTGGAGTACCCCCTGGAATCATCCTCTGGTCCAGGGCCGCCCACGTCATAACTCCACCAGCTCCAACCTCAGATCTTGGATGATGATCATCACCTACCAATCATTGACCAATCAATATCACCCCATAGCCCATAGTAGTCAACCAAACGGGCTGTTTCAACAGGGGAATTCACAAAAGGAGTGCCGCCCATTTAATTGGTGTCTTATCATCTTATCCTCCAAAAGAAAGGCAGCAAACATAGTACAACCCTTGTAAATAATAAGCATCCAACCGACTGATATATTATATATTTGAGCACTGAGCAACTGGGATGCACAAGGGTGTGTCTGAAGATTCCGACGCTCCTAAAAATACCATGAGTCTAGAAACCCCCTGCCGATCCGCTGGCAAAAATGTTGAATTTTAGCAGATTATGCTTTAAATTCACCAAACTCCACACTCAAAACCGGTTGAACTGTATGGCACCCCGCCCTGTCAAATTGCATACCATAAACCCAATATCAACCGGTGCAGGAGCACACCGGGTGTCCCGGTCAGTGGCTCTCCTTCCGTGGTTCGGTGATGGCCACATAACTCGCGAACGTCAGGGCGGCTGGAGCACCTAGTAGCTCTGCTGCTATCCGTCCCAGGTAGCATTGCAAACCCCAAAAAAATATGGGGAAAAACAATCCTGGAAGGTAACTTACGGTTATATCTTTTTGGTGGGTGCTGCAAGTAGGTTGCCGGTATTATTTTCAGACGAACCCATAGAGAAAATCCGCATAAATCTGCCAGCTACAGATCATTTGCGAGGTGAAACATCCATCAGTTATAGATAACTTGCTAAGAAAACAAGTTTGTTGTCCAGATCTTTGTTAATTTACTGGAGGGTATATGCGTTTAGCCACTTATCCCCTTCCCCACTCATGTTAAACACTCCAGAGAAACCATGGTGGATGGAGGGGTCAAAACACCGCTTTCGGGGTCCTTAAGTTTGAAACAAAGCGATGTACATGGCTGGTGGTTTCAAGCCAATCTAAAACAAATCGTCAATTTTACACCATCATCATCATCATCATCATCATCATCCATCATCGTCGTCATCATCATCATCATCATCATCCTCACCGTCATCATCACCATCACCATCATCATCATCATCATCACCGTCGTCATCATCATCATCATCCCACACCAAGTGGTGAATAACACCCATTTCAAGCCACCAGCCACTTTTACATGATCGGGAAAATCACAGGAATATCGGAGAAATGGGAATATCCACTATACATGTTGTAAATTGTAAATGGTTACTGTAATGGGAACAGTATCGAACTAAATGACATGAGGGGGGGTTCCAACAAACCATGTTCGAGCATCGGGTTTCACATGATTTAATTTCAAAAGACCCTGATTCTTTACAGATCCAAAAAGGCATAATGTTGTCTAGCCAATAGTGATATCTTGTCAATAGTAGAAACATTTTTCCGCAACTCCAATTTTTCTCCAATACTAAAAGTCAATTAGCTCCATTTACTTTTAGTATTGCCAAAAGAGTCATGTTCAGACCTTGTCCAGAGGGCATGGCCAATAGTGGACCCAACATGGCAATAGTGGAAACTTTTTTCCCAACTCCAATTTTTTCTCCAATACTAACAGTCAATTAGCTCCATTCACTTTTAGTATTGCCAAAAGAGTCAAGTAAAGCAAATCCTTTTCAAAGAAGCCTTCACTTTTGATTAGCAAAAGCTTAGATTCCAGAAATCTGATCCAATTACCAAACAGCTGATTTCCTTATAAAACCCTTATTAAACAAAGCAAGAAAACAGGTCCACAAAGGGTACCCCCTTTGCAAGCCCCAGAATAGCAATAACAAACCTGCACCAGGCATGGCAATAGTGGAAACTTTTTTCCGCAACTCCAATTTTGTTGTCCTCCTTCTCCTTCTCCTTCTCCTTCACCTTCTTCTCCTTCTTCTCCTCGTCCTCCTCGTCCTCCTCCTTCGCCTCCATCCCAGCCATAAGGTTCCAAAAAATTACTATTGGAATGCTGACCCCCCCTGACTTTTTTTTAAAAAATATTTTATTTAGGGGGGGGTCACTTTTTGGCAGCATACATTAATAAAGCCTCTGTGTCTATGAGATTTCCCAACCAGCCATGCTTTATGAAACCACATTGCCGTCCCAATGGATGGCCAAGCTGCGCAGGTGGATGCGAGCCGCCGCCCCAAGTGGGCGGAAATTGCTCCACCTGGCCACATTTTAGTGACATCAACGACCAAGGATCTGGATAAATTATAGCAATTCACTAACTATCCCGATAAATTATAGCACTTCACTAACTATCCCGATAAATTATAGCAATTCACTAACTATCCCGATAAATTATAGCAATTCAACGGGTAATAGAAACTTGTGAACCTCAAATAAGGTGATTTGGAAATGATCATGAATGAATCATTCCATATAGTACCCATCAAGTGAGGTCGCAGTGGGTTCGTTCCAATTTACCCAATCTTGTTTTGTTCACAAGAACAAATGGGGATATAATATAATGAAATGTTGATATTACCAACAAGCATGACGATTTCACAGTCAATAACACATTGATTTGATATTCGGATATGATGGGATAGCTAACCGATATCCTAACCAACATCCTATTTTGTTCAATGCATCTGCACTTAACTCTGACCTGCCATATGTGGCCCCCAAGACCAAACAAAATGTTGATTCCCTGGAAGCCTGGAAAATGCAAGTTAACCCCCCCTCCCGCCTGTTTTACCCTGGTTTTTTCACCGATTAGCTATACTTATATTCCCCGCACGCCTTAGTTAACCAAAATGATAAATCAACTTAGCTGCCCTGTTGCCAAACCGAAGTGCAATATGTTTGGTGAAGATTAATCTGCGGATGGATGGGGAGAACTAAACGAACTCAAAACTTGGGGGGCCTCAATCTGTCGCAATGGATAAACAATGATGGTGAAATCATGGAAATGGACTTGCGCTGGATCAGATTGTTTCACCCTTCTCGAACACAGGTGCAACAGTCATTGCGTGTAGTGTAGTTGGTGTAGATGAGAAAGTGGTAGCTGAGAATCCGAAACTGGGTTGGCCTTACAACAGTTCTGCTCAAATCTAATGTTTCCTTCAAGTACAACTTGTGAAGCTTCCAAACTTCGGACTTGATATTACCTGCTTAGCAAATTGAGAATGTTTCATGTCAATGTTGACATCATTGGGAATGTGCTGCTTGTGCTCCCAAAGACCCAGTTCAGCCGGATTACCTATCAGCAATCCGCTGGAGGAAAGACATGAGCCAACGTGGATCCATCTCTTTCAGCGTTACGCAGGGAGGCCAACAAACTGTACTTGGATGTCTTTCCCCTGGGGATCCGTGGTTTGTAATTCATATATAACCCGAATAATGCCATGGGATATCTATATTATATATACATGTAATATATATATATATAAATTGGGATATTCCATAATTTAATATATATATATATAACCGGGGGCTAACCCATTTACTAACTGGGATGCAGCCCAAGTACCCTTACCACGTCATCACCGCCCCAAGATGTGCAACTTCCACCAAGGGGCATCGAATGAAGGACTTTGGACTTGAAGAGTCTGCTACCAAGTGGCGCAAAAGCTCTGAAACTGCAAAACTTTTGATGTTCCTTGAGTTCTCAGTGATTATAGTCATAGTGATTCAGAGTAGAAACATGATGGCAGTTTGCGCAAACTTTACTTTTACCTGTACGGCACATGTGTGAAGGACACCAAGTGCACCCCCCAAATGTGTTGTGGTGAGAAACTCTGACTGAAGTTGCCAGAAGCCTCAACAACTGCCAGTTGAACCAAGCGTAGCTGCGTTTCTATTGGTGCTGCCACCGAAAATGGAACCGACGAGCATCCAGAGAACACCTCTAAGGTTCGACATGATTAAAGCTCAGCAGCAGTATCACTATCATCACAACCAAAGATTCTCAAAATCTTCACATGCGCCCAGTTAACCACATTTGACCACTCCACTACCCCAAGATCCTTTCCTGCGAGCCTGCAACTGGTCACCAGATGCTCAGTGCTGCAGCTTTTGTGGTGATGATAGTCACCGGGGCGAAGCTGGGGCCTGTACTGCAATTTTTCTCCATGCTATGCCTGTTGCAGCGACAGGTCGCTGGCAGAAATATCCCCGATGGATGGAATTCTTAGGGTCTACAGCCCCCATTCCAGCCAATATGCTGGCTGAAAGGGTAGGTACCAAGACTGAAAGCCATGGGCTGGAAACATGACCCCAACCCCAAAAATTTAGCCAAAGTAGGAAAAGTACTAATATGTTCCCGTGGCTGAAAACTAGGGGATGTGAGGTTACCTTGCATCTTACAACTTACATGTTTCAAGTGGCTGAAATCATAGGCACCTGAGATGCAGGCCAACACACGCACATCCTGTTGAATCTTTCACATCCTGTTTCTGAAGCGTTCAACTTTTTTTTTCGAAAAAAACCTTGCATCTGAAGCTTTCAACTGTTTTTTCGAAAAAACCTTGCATCTGAAGCTTTCAACTGTTTTTTTCGAAAAAAACCTTGCATCTGAAGCTTTCAACTGCTTTTTCGACAAAAACCTTGCATCTGAAGCTTTCAATTTTTTTTTTCGAAAAAAACCTTGCATCTGAAGCTTTCAACTGCTTTTTCGAAAAAAACCCTGCATCTGAAGCTTTCAACTGTTTTTTTCGAGAAAACCTTGCATCTGAAGCTTTCAACTGCTTTTTCGACAAAAACCTTGCATCTGAAGCTTTCAACTGTTTTTTCGAAAAAACCTTGCATCTGAAGCTTTCAACTGTTTTTTCAAAAAAACATTGCATCTGAAGCTTTCAACTGGTTTTTCGACAAAAACCTTGCATCTGAAGCTTTCAACTGTTTTTTCGAAAAAACCTTGCATCTGAAGCTTTCAACTGTTTTTTCGAAAAAACCTTGCATCTGAAGCTTTCAATTTTTTTTTCGAAAAAAAACCGCATCTGATGCTTGAAAAGCGCGCGATGGCTGGAAACCTCGGATTCACCTCTGGAGTGGTTTGTCTCAACAAGTTCATGGTGCAACGGTTTGCTTTCTTGATGGTTTGTCTCAACAAGTTTTTAACTGTGGGCAGCAAGTTCACTTACAGGTTACATGTCAAAACCTCAGACCCCAGGATTTCATCTCAACAATTTCATTGTTGGCAGCAAGTTCACTCGCAAGTTACGTGACAAAACCTTTCCAGTGATTTGCGGCTCCGGAGGGTCGAAAAGTAGGCTCGCTAAAGCGGCGGTTGCGGAGCCAGCTGGCCAGTTGAGAGATGACAAATTGCACGCCGTTGTGGCGCGAAGCACATTTCCAAGCGAAAATGTACAAAACACCTGGGTCTCGGAGCACTTTTGGAAGTTGAGATGTCGAAAAAGTGCACGCCGTTGTGGCGCGAAGCACATTTCCAGGATTTCAACTCAACAAGTCCATTGTGAAACGATTTGTCTTGTTGATGGTTTGTCTCAACAAGGTCATTGTAAAACAATTATTTTCTCCCACGCTGACTTTTCAGGAATCCAATGACCTGAACACTGCAAAGTCTCAAACCCTAGGCCCTAGGATTTATTGCGCAATGGCTGGAAACTT